CCAGATCAGGCAAGAGAATTTGATTTTAGTTTCAATTTAGGAAAGCCCATGGGTTTCAATCTAGAACTGCTGTACCGCTGAGTTTTCCTTAGAAAGGTAAGGTGCTCAGCTGAGCGGTGGTGGCGCACACCTTTAATCCCAGCACTAGGGAGGCAGAAGCAGGGGAATCTCTGTGAGTTCGAGGCTAGCCTGGTCTACAAGAGCTAGTTCCAGGACAGGCTCTAAAACTACAGCGAAACGAAACCCTGTCTCAAAAAAAAAAAAAAAAAAAAAAAAAAAAGTCAGGTGCTCAGAAGTCTCCCGAGCCACAGCTTCCAAGGCGTGTCAGCCTTGTAGAAGCTTCATCAATACTAAGCAGAGAGAACCGCTGTAGAGAGAACTCCATAGGGCAGTTTAGAAGAGATGCTCTCAGGAGGTTTGGCCATTCTTCTGTATGCAACCTTGGGGCAAGCAGGGTAATTAGACTCCATTTTTCAGAATCTCTGCTTTTTGTTATTATTGTTTTGAGTCAGGGCCTCTCTATGTAAATCCCAACTGGCCTTGAATTCAAAGAACTCTGAGATCTGCCTCTGCCTCTTGAGTGCTGGGATTTAAAGATATATGCCCCATGCCTGGCAGGCTGTTTTTTCTAACTAGCTCCCAGGTAAGGCCGTTACTATTGGTTCAGGGACCACGCTTTGAGTGGTATTCCGAAGGACTCTGAGCAGTACTGTCTGCATCCTGACCCTTAGAATGGCGAGACTGATGAGAGGCTTGGAATCATGATGGCAGTGATCAGGATCCAGGAGTGTGATGGATCAGTGGTCCTCAACCTTCCTGATGCTGCAACCCCTTAACAAAGTTCCTCAGGTTGTGGTGACCCTCAACCATAACATCATTTTGTGGCTACATCATGAGGCTCTGGGTCTATCCCCAGCAGAGCATAAACCAGGCTTGGTGGTGCATGCTTATAATCCCCACACTAGAGAGGTGGAGACAGGAGGATCATAAATTCAGGGCAATCCTCAGTTTGACAGCAAGCTTGAAGTCAACCTGGGATACATGACCCTGCTTTGATCTGGGAGAACAGCGGCAGTGGAGACCACTCTGGGTCTGGTCTGAATTTAACAGGTTTGTTGCTACCTAGGTCAAGAGACAACTAATGAAATATATAAAGGGACCAGTGTCCCGTTTTCACAATACCAACATCCTGTTCCTCTTTTTCTAGTAGAGACTTTCAATGCGCCGAGAATTACGCCTCTATTCGTGGCGTCTCACAGGAAGCCTCTATCAGCAACAGTGTGAGCACAACAGGACACCATGAGAGCACAACTAGTGACACACCTTCTGTCTCAAACTCCTCAAAGCCTACGTTCCATCAATGTGCTCAGTATTTGTTTAGTATCAAATGTCTTCATCAACCCTTCACAGTGCAGTAGTGAGCTGGCTCTGGACATGCAAAGCTGCAATTTCAGCACCTTTGAGGCTAGCCTGGGCTACACAGACCCAACTCCTTAAAAAAAAAAAGCTAAACCAAAAATGACAGTATAAAGAAAATAAATAAGGGACACTGTGGAGACTCATTGTGGAAGGTCCTGAGGTTTTACAAAAAAAAAAAAAAAAAAAAAACACATAAAAACCCCAAAACAACAACAACAACAAAAAAACCCCCCACAAAAACCAGGGGATCGTAGAGCTTAGGATGGTCTCAAACTTACTACAGAGACTAAGATGATCTTGAATTCTGATATTCCTACTGAGCTGGAGTACAGACAAACTGTTTTCAACTTTATTTGAGTCAGGGTCTCATTATGAAGCCCTGGCTGGCCTGGAACTTGGTATGTAGACCATGTTGGCTCCAATTTGCAGAGATCCACCTGCCTTTGTCTCTTAAGAGCTGGGATTAAAGGTATGTGCCACCATGCCTGACTGTTTGTTTTTCAAGACAGGATTTCTCTGTGTAGCCCTGGCTGTCCTGGAACTCACTCTGTAGACCAGACTGGTCTCAAACTCACAGAGCTCTGCCTCTGTCTAAGTGTTAGGATTAAAGGTATGTCCTATTGCTCTAGCATCCCAAATTCTGGGATTATAGGCCTGTGCTATGTTATCATGAAGAATAAGTATGAACTATGTAGTTCTCATGCCTAGAGCTGTGATTTACTTACTCTACAGTCATGGTCATGTCTCCTCATGTGTAAGGGGAAGATCTTACCATGTAGGGTGAGGACAAAGCCATGTATGTTGCCACAGACATAAAGCTTTTTTTTTTTTTTGGTTTTTTTTCGAGACAGGGTTTCTCTGTGGCTTTGGAGCCTGTCCCGGAACTAGCTCTTGTATACCAGGCTGATCTCGAACTCACAGAGATCCACCTGCCTCTGCCTCCTGAGTGCTGGGATTAAGACATAAAGCTTTTAGTGCATGTTAGGTGGTAGCACATCACCCTTAAATTGCACAACTGGGGAGCTTTTGACTCCCAGACATTTAAGATGCGGTCTGATAGTATAATACCAGTCTGAAAAACAACTGTCTCACGGGTATTTTAAAGCTCAAAGTGAAACGGCATCCAGAAGAGTGACCTGAAAGTTGTTTTGTTTGGTTTGGTCCAGTTTAAGAAGTACCTGGAGCTGGACAATGGCAGTGTACGCCTTCAATCCAGCACTTGCGAGGCAGAGGCAGGTGGAAAGCTTTGAGTTTGAGGCCAGCCTGGTCTACAGAGCAAGTCCTAGGGCAGCCAGGACTGCACAGAGAAACCCTATCTTGAAAACCAAAATAAAATAAAGTATCTGGAAACCATGAGAATACCAAAGAGCTACTGTTTGCTCAGGTCATAATTCTGGTGTATGAGATCAGGTGCCAAGGAGATCATTATGATGCCAAAATTCCAGCCTGCCTTCTTCGCAGGTTCACACTGACACACCAAGCTGCCTTGATTGAACCAAGTCCTGGCTGAAATAACCTCAGGAAGTATGGACTATAGTAGAAAAAAAAAAAACCCAAAATTTAAACACAGGGTTGGAAATGTGGGCTCTTAGAAGAATAACTGCTTAGCTATGGATTTTCAGCACCACAAAATGAATCAAAACACAAATATAAACCTGATGATTTTCCATGTTTACTAGGTAAGCTAGATTTGGTTTCATTGCTTAATTTTTGTTGTGAAGGATGTCCCTCCCCAAACCATTTGCTAGAAAACGTCAGGAACACAAATTAACACCCTCAGGTCACACCAGGAAACAGGAGAGAGAGCCAATTCTAGCACGCAAGTGGCAGGAGTTCCAGGCCAGCAAGAGAACTAACCAATGAATGAGACCTAAGGTAAGAAACATGGCATGGGGCTGGAGAGATGGCTCAGAGGTTAAGAGCATTGCATGCTCTTCCAAAGGTCCTGAGTTCAATTCCCAGCAACCACATGGTGGCTCATAACCATCTGGCCTGCAGGCATACACAGAGACAGAATATTGTATACATAATAAATAAATAAATATTAAAAAAAAAAGAAACATGGCATGTACAACCTTATCTGTGCCAAAGAACAAAACAGTTTAGCCGGGCGGTGGTGGCTCATGCCTTTAATTCCAGCACTCAGGAGACAGAGGCAAGTGGATCTGTGAGTTCGAGGCTGGCCTGGTCTACAGAGTGAATTCCAGGACAGCCAGGGCTACACAGAGAAACCCTGTTTTGAAACAAACCAAAACCCAAAAAACCAAAACCCAAAAAACCAGTTTAATCACAATGCTAGTTCCTGAACATTTGACTTAACACATCAATAAATTAAAAACAAATTCTCTAAAAATTACCTAAAATGAATACTGAAGCTGTGTTGGTGCACACTGATTGGTCATCCCAGAATTTGTGAGCTAAAGGCAGGAAGATCAAGCGATCAAGGCTAGCCTTAGTTACATACTGAGTAGGTATACCAGAAGGTTAACTGGGGCTATAAGAGAGACCCTCTCTTAAACAGCAAAACAGAACTCAAGAAAAATACTACTTCTCAAATGATACTGGGAAGACAAAACAATCCAACAACAAAAGCCTCCCCCAAATTTACAGAGCATTTCTGGTCTTTGGCCATGACTTCTGTGTGGTTAGTAGCTAGTAGTAGCTGCCTTTGGAGTTAATATTCATTGTAGGAGGAACACAGCTTTCTCTGATGAGCTGTTTGAGAAATTCCTAATCCTCACTTATCTGAATGCAAGATTCTAGTGTCTCTAATTGTTAGTCTAATAGATTAAATCTGGACCAACTGAACTAGGTGAGAAACACGTTGAACTATGAAGTCACTGGAAACATCTGTGCACTTAAACACCTGATTTTGGTTTGGTGTGTGGTCATGATCCTGATGAGCGTATGAATCAGTGGAGATTTTGATCCCCGTACACTTTAGATCTGGCATACACCTATAGGTTTGGGGTCGCTACTACCGAATTTCACTGTTGATATGTGTCTGGCAAAGCTTGAAAGCATAGGCTTTTATCCCAGCACTTGAGGGACAGAAGAGAGCAAATTTCCGTGAGTTCAAGGCCAGCCTGGTCTACATAGTTCTAGGGTAGCTAGGGTTATATAGTGAAACTGTCTAAAACAATACTAATAAAAAACAAGTGGTGGGGTTTTAAGGAGGAGAGGATGAGATGTTTCTTTGTAGGTTTGTCATTTCAAGGGCAAATACATCACCCGCATCCTGACTTCGCAGACAGTGCCCAAGCATTGCCTTGGCGATACTACGTGCTACTCCCAGTACTGCACTTGCTGCAAGACAGGATCCACTGCCTAAATATCGACACGTTTCTCCTTGGGCCTCCGAAGAGCTACCTTCTCCAGAGCAGCTCGCACCAAGAGTCTGGAGACACACAGCCAGTCTACCTAAACTTAGGGTAAAGAGTCCAGACAACTTAGCTCAGGAGTCAGGCCAACTAAGTGACGCTAGTCGGAAGTAGGTCAGGAGTTCCAGCTTCAAGATCTCATCCCTGAGTCTGTGACAGTAGTAACCAGGCTCGTCGGAGCCGGGCCTTGCAGACGCTTACCTGTTTTTGTACCGGCCTCCAGCCGGAAACATTCAGCAAGAATCTAAACCACTGGGGAATCAAAGGTGAAGTCTGCGTTGTTCTCCCCCCGCCCCCCACCACCACCAACAGCCCCCAGGTCTGCGCACGCGTCCTACTCCTTCGGCGGCTTCCCTAGCCTGCCAGAGGCTCATTCTCATTAACTACGCATGCGAGAAACCGAGGCGTCTTCCCGCAGTTTCTAGAGAACCAATCGGCGGGGCCCTTAGCCTCAAGCTCCACCCTCACGCCGCTTGCGTCGCCCTGCCCTCTTTGGCGCGAGCTGCGCGTCAGGGAACGAGGGAAGGCGCCTGTCTGCGCTGGCTCGTCCCTCTCCCGAGCAGCCAATCGCCGGTGAGCGGCCGGGCACGCGCGCGCGCACGCCTCCTGGAGTTTAACGGTCGCGTGAGGCCAATTTCTCGGGCCAGGCTAGGCAGAGGCGAGGAGGCCAGGTAAGCGGTCGCGGCTTGTGGGCAGCTGCGTGCCGCGAGGGCTGAGGACTGAGTCCTAGACGATCCCATCAGAGGGGACCCCCCTTGGGTGCGTTGACAGGCTAGGGTGAGGGACTGTGGCTACCGCAAAGCTGGCCGGAGCCCGCTGGCGTGTGCGGGTTCGCAGTTGCGGCCGCTCTTTCTAGACTCGTGCCCTTGAGTGACATCAGCGAGGCCCAATCGGAGGGCGGCCTTTGCAAGGGGCGTGGGTGCTTCCCCCCCCCCCCCCCCCCCCCCCGGTAGTGATACCCACGCTTCCATTGGAAATGACAGTGATCACTAGCGGCTCTCCAACATGCCTGCTGCCTCGTATTCTCTCTCCTCCGGTCTTGAACCGGTAGGCGTTACCCGCGACTAGGGTCTGACGTCTGCCCCTGAAACCACCTCGTACTGGTTCCTTTCAGCCTCCCCGCAGAGGAAGCCCTGTGAACTTTCAAATTGTTAATGCTACTCCGTCACTCCTGCCTCCGACTCCAAAGGGTTGTAGGGTGAGGGACAGAGCATCGTTTTTGGTGCTGAAAGTTATATTTAGAAATGTCTGTACCTATATTCAGTTTCTATCAAGTTTATTTCATATCCATAGCGGGTTTCCCCCTTTTCTCCTCGCCCTTCCCCGTCCCGGGAGAGGTGTCATTGAGGTTCTAGTGGTGTTTCTATCTAAATCTTGCATCCGGATTACCTCAGCGGAGGTGGATGTGGGGGAGGGCCTGTGAGAAGAGATGGAACTGTAGATCCACCTCTCTGGAGAGTTTGTGGTCATTTGAATCCACGTATTTTCGTTGCCAGTTGGAAGAGGCAGCCCCTGGCTTTTTCAATACCCCATTTGTCACTGGTGATGGGCCAGACACTGGGGTGGGAAGGTGGCGGAAGTCAAATCCATTTGGTTAGATCTGTACCTGTCCTGGAGGCAATGCTTCTTTAACTTCAATGAACTGATTGTGTTCTTTAAGCCCTGGAAAGTGAGAGTTGGGTGGCACAGGAATGTGAGAAAGTTCTTCCGATGCAGTCTCTAAACTTCTCATTTTATAAGCAGCATGGTTTTTTTGTTTTGTTTTGGTTTTTGTTGTTGTTCCCCCTCATCTTTCATCTCTTTGAAATCAGTGGATTCTGGAAAGATGATGCATATGGTTGGGCTTATGACAGCAAGTTTAAATCTATATATCCAGATTTAGTAAAATTTTAGTTAACTTGTTCCAGAGTACAAAGTATTAAGAATTGTACATCCAGCCATTTTTAACAGTTAAATAGCTTTTAAACGCAAACATAAGACTAAATAGTTAAGTCCTGTTAGTGGCTATATAAGTTAACAAACCTTCTGCAGTGTAGGACTTACTAAATAAGTGAACCAGGCTGAAAGCATTCCATTTATTATGTAATAGAGTGCACCTAGAACCTTGATTATTAAGCACAAAATTCTGAAATATTGCCTGTAGGGGATAATGTGATTCTTACAAATTACCTTAAAAAGACATATGGTCCTTATACATAAACTGCATCCTGCTGAAAGTATGTGATTTAGGGGTTTTAGAAGAAGAAATGCGAACTCCAGAACTTTCCATCACCCTGAGGTGAAAAGCGAGTGCACTGCAGTGGCCTCCTTTCTCCCGTCCTCCTCGGGGCTTCATAGTCTGCTTTGCCCTGTGGGTTTGCCAGTGCTAGATTCTTCATATAAATGAAGTCATAGAGTAGTAATTTTTTTTTTTCCTGAGACAGGGTTTCTCTGGGTAGCTTTGGAGCCTGTCCTGGAACTCTCTATGTAGACCAGGCTGGCTTCAAATTCACAGAGATCCTCCTGCCCCTGCCTCCCGAGTGCTGGGACTAAAGGTGTGCCCCACCACTGCCCGGCCTGGCTGCTGTTCTTTATGTAGATGAATTTTCAAGGTCTGCAAAGTCATGAGAAGATAGTGGGTAAATTGTACATTTAATGGCTTTTTCCGTAGTTTTCCCTGTTCAGATTCCTTGGAAGCGTAGCGGACTTCACAGCTCTGAATGTCAGCTGCTGAGGATGCTGGTAGACGATGAGGCAGCTGAAGAGGAGCCAGAAGCAGCCTCCTCCTTCAGGAGAAACAAGAGTGCTTCCAGATGACAGAGCTTAACAATTTCTGTGCGATATGGAGGATTTTGGTTTGGCGGAAACTTTACAAAAATCTTCACCTTCTGCAGACTCTGATATCAAAAGTACTCCCCATTCTCTCGGATTGAGCTTGTGTGCTAATAGGTAAGAATTGTTAGATACTATTTCTTTTTTTTTAAGATAGGATTTCTCTGTGTTTGTTCTGGAACTCTCTCTGTAGACCAGACTGGCTTTGAACTCAGAGGTCCACCTGTCTCCGTCTCCCTAGTGCTGGGAACAATGATGTGTACCACCACCACCAGGTGGTTGGATACTATTTTCATGTGTTAATAAACCAAAATAACTTTATTTGCAGAACTGACTAGTTGATCTAATCAGTGTCATTGTTGCCTTAAAGAACAAACAACCCATCTCTGATTAGGAACTGTTTAGGGACAGTCCTGGAACTCTCACTGTAGACCAGGCTGGCCTTGAACTGAGAGATCCATCATTATGCTTTTTTTTATTTTGTAACTTACAAGCATATCTTTAAAGTTTTTGAGGTAAGACCTCTTATAGCCAAGGCTAACCTGACTCATAATGTACTCAGAGATAATCTTGATCTTTTGATTCTCTACATCCTGATAATTGCCTAGTTATTTTTCCTTTTTTTTTTTAACCTTTTTAATTTTTTTAAAGAGACAGTCTCATTGTGTAGCTCAGGCTGGCTTTAAACTCTAGGAAGTCCTCCTGTCTTAGCCTTCCTAGTACTGGGGTTACAAATGTGAGCTTCTGGGCTGAAGAGATAGCTCAGCGGTTAAGAGCATAGGCTGCTCTTCCAGAGGTCCTGAGTTCAATTCCCAGCAACCACATGGTGGCTCACAACCATCTGTAATGATATCTGGTGTCCTCTTCTGACATGCAGATTAACATGCAGGCAAAACACTGTATAAATAATAAATGTTTAGAAAAATAAATAAAATTAAAAAAAAACACAAATGTGAGCTACGATACCTGGCTTATTTCTACATTCTAAATTAATAGTATAGATAATATTTTATATTGTAGAAGCATCATACCAATCTGGGAAACAGTAATTAAACTGTTTAGAACGTATTAGAACTGGACAGTGGTGGCGCACGCTTTTAATTTCAGTACTCGGGAGGCAGAGGCAGAGGCAGGTGGATCTCTGTGAATTTCAGGACAGCCTGGTCCACAGAGCTAGTTTCAGGATAGCTAAGCCTACCAAAGAAACTCTTCCAAAAAAAAAAAAAAAAAAACCAAAAAAAAAAAAACCCCAAAAAACCTCAAAAAGCAAAAAACAGACTGAGTTGACAAAAAGCCAATAAAATTCTTTATGTATTTAGTTATTGATTCAATTATTTAGGGTCTCTCTGTCCCTGGCTGCCCTGAAGCTCATTTATATAGTCCAGGTTGGCTTGGAACCTGTAGCAGTCTCTTGACTCTACTTCTCAAGCTGGGGAGTATGGCTTTGTGAAGACACACACACATTTGGGTGCTCCTCCTTCCCTCCTTCCTTCCTTTCTCTTTTTTGATACAGGGCCTCTCTATATAACCTTAGCTCTCGTGGAACTCACTATTTTGCCAGGCTGGCCTCTAACTCATAGAGATCCATCTACCTCTGCCTGTAGAGTTCTGGGATTAAAGACGTGTGCCACCATATTTGGCAAAGAGTCAGATAGCTTTAAATATAAAGATTTTGATGAATTTGTGTATTATAAATTAACTACCTTAAAAACTGTTCATTCTTGGCCGGTCGGTGGTGGCGCATGCCTTTAATCCCAGCACTCGGGAGGCAGAGGCAGGCGGATCTCTGTGAGTTTGAGGCCAGCCTGATCTACAAGAGCTAGTTCCAGGACGGGAACCAAAAGCTACGGAGAAACCCTGTCTCGAAAAATCCAAAATCAACAACAACAACAACAAAACAACAAAAACCTGTTCATTCTCTCCCTTCCTTGTGAGGAGTTTGAAGCAGTAATATCCCACGGGTAAGGTAGTATGAGAGAAAGATGTAAAGGCCCGAGACATGCCTGCTGCAGTGCTCCACCTTGAAGCCGAACGCTGGCCACATTTACCTCCTGCCTCATTTGGTGGCCCCTCTGAAATCTACTTCTTTTTTTTTTTTTTTTTTTTTTTTGGTTTTTCGAGACAGGGTTTCTCTGTGGCTTTGGAGCCTGTCCTGGAACTAGCTCTGTAGACCAGGCTGGTCTCGAACTCACAGAGATCCGCCTGCCTCTGCCTCCCGAGTGCTGGGTGAAATCTACTTCTAGAAGAAATTCCATTTAGTACTTTAATTGCCTGTCGAACCTAAATGTACTTGTCATGAAATTGATGTCATTGAATTTGTATCTCCTTTCTCTGTGACTGACACTTAAATCCACCATGTTGAAACTAGATTATTGCAACTCTGTAAAGTTCTTATGTACAACATATATTTTAAAGAGTTTATTGTGGTCTTGCTCTTCAATTTTTTTATGCTTCTAACTTTATTATTTTATTATTTTCATTTTGGTTAGTGTATGTGTCTGTGCACGCATACGTGCGTGCATGCGTGTGTGCGAAACAAAATAGATCTACATAGTAAGTAAATAAAATTGCTCAGGGACTGGGAATGTAATTCCACTGGTTGAATACTTATTTGACATGCAGGAAGCCCTGGGCTCTGTTCCTAGCATAGCAGAAATCAGGAATCATGCCTGTAATTCCTACACTTGGGAAGAAAAGGTAGGAAGAATAGCAGTTCAAGCTCATCTTCTCCTATGTAGTGAGTTTGAGGCCATCCTTTCATACATGTGGCTGAAAATAATAACAGTAAATTGGAGGAAAGATGGCTTAGTGGCTAAGAGCACAGACTACTCTTCCAAAGGACCGAGGCCTAATTCCCAGCACCCACTTGACAGCTCACAACTGTTTGTGGCTCTAGTTACAGGGGATCCAGCACTCTCACAGATACATATATGCAGGCAAAACACCAAAGCACATAGGATAAAAATAAATCATTGAAAAAAGAAAACATTTGGCCGGGCAGTGGTGGCGCTCACCTTCCATCCCAGCACTCGGGAGGCAGAGGCAGGCAGATTTCTTTGAGTTCGAGGCTAACCTAGTCTGCAATAGCTAGTTCCAGGACAGGCTCCAAAGCAACAGAGACGCTGTCTCAAAAAACAACAAACAAACAACAAAAAAAAAACCAAACAAAAAACAAAACAAAAAAAACCAATGAAAATGCCCTTTTAGCTACAAAACAGATCTGATGTTCTGAATTGTATTTGGGGTATTTATGAACAAATCTGAAGTCATCCCCCATTTGGAAGTCTTAGTGTTCCATTACACACCGTACAGGCTCAATAAATCCTATCTATTGACTGCTAATTGGGTTGGCAGAGCTTTCATTCACAGGCAGTTCAGTGATAAGCACGAGTTTATCACATGGAATCTGAGGATCTGGTTACGGGATTGACTGTTCTGGCAGCAGAGAGAGACTGCTTAGCGGACAATGGAGGGCTGTTGTTAAAGTGGGCCAGATGAGCCTCCAGAATAGTTCAGGGAAGCTGTGCCATCTTCTCTGTCGTTTCTGCTGGAGAAGGCTTCTCTCATAAAGACGTGAGTGTGTCCCTGTGTGGTCAGGTTTCTGAGGAGGATTAGGTATCAGTGGTTGTGTACTGCTCTGCTAGATCTTGAACTGCTGAATTAGTCAACTCTTCAATTGAATGAGAAAACCATCTGAATTATTTATGTTTCAACAGAAGTAGTCCCCACCTTAGTACAAATGGGGTATCCTCTTTCTCAGGGAAGACCGGGCCACCTGTCACTCAAGGCACAGTCGAAGTCCTCACTGCTTTAACACAAGAGCTGCAGAACAGTGGCCGGACTGCCTCAGAGCTTTGGAAGAACTGTGAGGTATTTCATTTTGTTTTATTTGGGGGGTGGTGGTGCTCTTTTAAATATGAAATAAATGTGGCTCTACTGAATTGTTAGAAATTTATGTCCAGAAAAGCATGATATTTAACCTTAGTTCTATAGTCAAATGACCAAGCATAAGATAACTGATACTGAAGGAACAAGAGAAGGGAGATGGGACACCATGGCCACAGAGAGCAGACCTGGAGACTCCCTGTGAACTGAAGTCTTTGTTCCGAGCACCCTCGGACTGTTACAATTGTTACTAATTACAGTCTTCTATGTGACTCTTAAAGTTGTCCTCATTTTTACAAACCTAAATCTTTTTCTGGAGTATTTTGAATGCTCTTATGATAAATTAAGGCCTCTATTTTGTGCCTAACACATTCTTCTGGTGCGTTGGCCTGTCGGCAGTGACTTCTTTGGTTAAACCGTGTTGGAAATTTAATTCTTAGGAACATCTCCCAGTTGAAGTATGGGAGTTGGTGGTGGTGTGTGCTCCTAGCCCTGGAAACAAGCCAGGAAAAAGGAGAATCACAGAAACAAACTTAAAGACTGACACATAGAAGGATACTTACAAATTTTGTTTTGGTGAATAATACTCAAGATGGCCTTTTCTCAATTGTTCATTTGTTTTTTGAGACAGGCTCTTTATGTAGCTCTGTCTGACTTGGAGCTTACTGTGTAGACCAGGCTGGCCTCAATCTCACAGAGATTTTCCTGACCCTGCCTCCCGAGTGCTGGGACTAAAGGTGAACTCTACCATGCCAGGCTCTTTGCTCTTTAGACTACATAAAAGGTTGTAATGTTTTATAGAAATGCAAATGTAATTATCAAACTCTAAGCAGTGGATTTTAACATTAATTGTACCTTTAGAACCGCCGTAACTTGTGTTTTTAGAATATAAAACTGAAAGAAAGATTTCCTGGCCTAAGAATTCAGTAGCAATTACCCCAAATATAATGACTTCAAAAAATTATCATTTAAAATGAACTTTTCAGAGTTTTGGGAGGTTGTGGTAGTTTGCAGCAGGGTCTCACTCCAGCCCAGGTCTCACTCTGGAACTCATAATGTCCGGCCTTCAGTTCTTGGCAGTGTTTCTGCCTTAGCTTCCCAAGCACTGGAATGTGGGGTTTGAGTAGTTGGCAGCTTTTCATTTTTCTCCAATGGTTTTTTATGTTTTTCACCTAGCAATCACTGAACCAATGTGGAAGACCCATAAGATGTATTTGTGTATGATGCCGTTAAGACCCAGGATGGCCTGGTCTGGACATGTAGCTCAGTGGCATGGTACATGTTTAGCATGCATGAGACCCTGGGTTCTAATCCAGCATCTGGGGAAAACAAGTTTGATGAACTATTTTTTCTGTGTGTCTATTCATTAACCTGTGACCAGTAACATATAAATAGGACCAAGAGCAACTACCACAGCACAGTTTATTTCTGACAACTTTTGTTTGATTAGGAATTGTTACTTTAGTACTTTGAATCAACACCTGAAGTTAGAGACTGTATTTCCGAGTTTAATGTATTGATTTAAAAAAAATGGTTGGGGGAGGAGGTGGAAATTTTTAAGTAAAAATAAATAAATAAAAAAATGGAGGGGGGGGGAAGGAGTGGGGGGAGGGGGAGGGAAATGGGAGGCTGGGAGGAGGCGGAATTTTTTTTTTCTTCAATTAAAAAAAATAATAAAAAAAAAATGGTTGGGCCTGGATTTCCTTGTGGATGATTCCAGGCTCATAGTCTGGCCCTGGGCTCTCGTTTGCAGAGTTCAACCTTGGTTGATGCAGAGTCAGTTGAAGTCTGAGGAGGAGGAGACTGGGCTAGAGGTTTTTTGTTTTGTTTTGTTTTTTTAAGATTTATTTATTATGTATACAATGTTCTGCCTGCATATGTGCCTGCAGGCCAGAAGAGGGCGCCAGATCTCATTACAGGTAGTTGTGAGCCACAATTTGGTTGTTATGACTTGAACTCAGGTCTATGAAAGAGCAGCCAGTGCTCTTAACCACTGAGCCATCTCTCCAGCCCTGGGCTAGAGTTTTAAAAGCATGTTTTTGTTTGTGTGTCTTCACTGAGGTTATGTTTTGTGAATTCCCACCTGACTACAAGGTTGGCTACTCAGCGAAGAGCCGCTTAGTGCTTTTTCAGAGAGGGCAGTGCACTCTCTGGTCACGTCCATAGGACTTCCTGCTTTTATTTAGTGTGCTTTTGTAGTTGTGTGAAAACAACAGAAACCGCCAATATTTTGGAGTAGTGTTTTAGGATCAGAAAGGTCAGATGTTATGCAAGCCTTAAGATCTGATGGTTTTCCTGAGTTTCTAGTGTTTGTGTCCTTTTGGAATACGATTGTGTGTTTCCTGATGCTCAAAAGAACTAATTTACTTTGCTAAACACAAAAGCTTCCTTATATTCTGAGTGTGCAGAGTGACAATATCCTTAGTTTGCTTTAGCTAGATCTCTTTTAGCCTTTTAGCACTTTGTGTTATATGTACAATAATAACAGCTACAGGATGAAAAGAAAAGAGGTGTTTACTTTTTTTTTTTTTTTTTTTGGTTTTTCAAGACAGGGATTCTCTGTGTAGCTTTGGAGCCTGTCCTGGAACTAGCTCTTGTAGACCAGGCTGGTCTCAAACTCACACAGATCTTCCTGCCTTTGCTTCCTGAGTGCTGGGATTAAAGGTGTGGGCCACCACCACCTGCAAGGTGTTTACAATTTATTGTCTCTTTGTTAGGTAGTATAGCTGCACTTTGTAGCACTTGCTCTTATTAGACCTGTGACCCCCCCACCCCCAGGACTTCTCTGTGTAACAACTCTGACTGTCCTGGAACCTGGAACTCCTTCTGTAAACCAGGCTGGCTTCGAACTCACAAAGATCCGCCTACCTCTGCCACCTGAGTGCTAGCATTAAAGGTGTGCGCCCCCCCCCCCCCCCCCCCGCCTCGCAGCCTGTAGGCTTCTTTTTATAGTAGTTTTTTTTAAACTTCATTCATCTTAATTCATCCATTTATTTATCTCAGTATTAATATGTTTCCCTTAGTAGTTTTGTTTTTTTAACGTAAAATAAGTTCATATTATTCTGAAGTGAAAATTATAGGTAAAATAACCTATTTGTACTAGCTTTAAAAAATTAGTGTAGGTGGTAGCGCATGGCTTTAGTCCCAGCACTCGGGAGGTAGCAATAGGCAGAGCTCTGTGAGTTCAAGACCAGCATGGTTTACATAGAAAGTTCCGGGGCAGCGAAGGCTACACAGAAAAACCCTGTTTAAAAGAGAAAAAAAAAATAGTAGGCCAGGTAGTGGTGGTGCACGCCTTTAATCCCAGAACTCAGGAGGCAGAGGCAGGTGGATCTCTGTGAATTTGAGGCCAGCCTGGTCTGCAGAGTGAGTTGCAGGACAGGCTCCAAAGCTACAGAGAAACCCTGTCTCGAAAAACAAACATACACACAAAATAGTATAGGTAACAGAGTGCTTGCTTATTATTCACCTAGGCCTAAGGTCAGTCTGCAGCCATGCATGCCTGCTGATGTGCATGGACACACACACACACACACACACACACACCCTTAGCTAACTGTGATATAAAGGAAATGGAAGTTGTTTATAGTAAAGACTATTATAAATATGTAAGTGTCTGTGAAGTTCTCTGGTGTCTCTGCAATTTATAGACTGTCTGTGAGGGAGCAGCTGAAGGGAATCTACTATTGATACCCTGATGACTGAGACTGGAGTAGCGCTCTCTTCTGAGCTAGTGACCAGGCTCATTTCTGAAACAGACTTCAGTGTGCTTGGAGCAAAATGCACAAAATTGCACAAAAGTAGTTACTATTTTTTTTAAAATATAAAACAGAGAGAGACAAGTCGAGGAATAGAAAAATGCTTGGGATGGTGGGAGAAGGAGAGGTAGTCTGGGATTGGAAGGACAGCAGTGTGTGTGAAGAGCTGGGGAGGGAGCTTCCAAAGCTGGGAGGTGAAGGCATTTCTACAGGCCCAAAGATCAGGAAGCGGTGCGGGGGTGGGGGGGTGAAGTTGGAGGAGTATGCAGCCAGGTAGTAGAGGCAGAAAGCAGTGATAGGGCGGAAAGGCTGTAAGGTGGAAGAGCAGAGCTGTTGTGCAGGATGCTTTTCACTGATATCGTGTGCCACTTGCATACCATCTATTGCTGAGCAGGTGGGCACCAGGCTTACGATGGGATTCATCCTTCTGGAGAATCTGTGCCCTAGTCTGGCTTTGTGTCTCTTTAGGGAAGTGCTTACTGCTCTTGGTAGTCAGGAGGACTCTGAAGGGTAGTCAAGGCCAGTTCCACAGCATGCCAGGGAATCAGCTTTTCGTTCCTTGCACTTGAGCTCCGCAGTGTTTGGAACACTTCAGTAAAAGTAAAAGTTCTCTACTAATTTATTTTTGGTTTTGTATGTGAGAGTTTTCTGGGTACATTTTAGTTCTTAAGGAGATTGTTAGCTTTTATGAGGAGAAAGGATGAGAAACGGAAGACGAATCTAGAGGCTGGGGAGATGGTTTAGTTGACAAAGTGCTTGCCATGTAAGCATCAAAACCTGACTTCACTCCCTAGCACTCACATAAAAAGCTGGGTAGGATGGTGGCTCTTGTAGCCCTAATGCTCTCGAGGTAGAACTGGGGTTCCTACGCTAGCTTCACATAATTGGCAAGTCTCAAATCCCAGAGAGAGACCCAGTTTCAAAAAACAAGGTGTTTAGCTCACTCACTTCTGTCTGGTTTCTATATGTGTACACGCATACATGAATGCACACAGACATATGCACGTGCACAAAGTGCAGCTATTAGGAGGTCTTTTGTCTCCGTGTATAGTATAGACCAGTCTCCCTCCTGCTGAGTGCTATGACTATAGGTATACACTATTGTACCTGGTACTGTCCAGTACTCTATTAATCAGAAATAACGGGGCTGAAGAGGTGGCTCAGTAGGTAAGGATGCTTGCCTCCATGCCTGATAACCTGGGTTCGTGCCCTGGGCACCACGTGGTGACAGGAAAGAACTGCCTGCCATAAGAAGTTCTTTTTTTTTTTTAAATATTTATTTATTTATTATGTATACAATATTCTGTCTGTATGCCTGAAGGCCAGAAGAGGGCGCCAGACCTCTTTACAGATGGTTGTGAGCCACCATGTGGTTGCTGGGAATTGAACTCAGGACCTTTGGAAGAGCAGGCAATGCTCTTAACCACTGAGCCATCTCTCCAGCCCAAGAAGTTCTTAAAAGAATATAGTAACAGACCTGGAGAGATGGCTCAGTGGCTAAGAGCACAGGCTGTTTTCCAGAGGACCAGTGTTCCATTCACAGCACCCACATGACTGCTTATCACCTGTAACTCCAGTTCCAGGGGATCTGATGCCTTCTTCTGGGCTCCTCTGTACTGGGCAACAACAGAAGAGAATTTAAGATTTCATTTGAGGGGCTGGAGAGATGGCTCATTAGTTACAAGCACTTGACTGTTCTTCCAGAGGACCTAGGTTTAATTCTCAGCACCCACGTGGTAGCTCACAACTGTCTGTAAGTCCAATTCTAGGGGATTCAGCACCCTTACATAGACATACATATAGGCAAAACACCAAGTCACATAAAATAAAAGTAAATATTAAAAAAAGATTACATTTGAAAAATAAGGCATAGATTTATTTTTAGTAAGGCATAGATTATTAAAAACAAGATTTTGACAGATTTTTCCAGATTGTAGATTACATTAAAAAAGATACTTACCTTTGCCTTTGTAGTATTACACTGAATATGTATTTTGCATTATTTAAACTGGCCTATAAATTTTACATTAAAATAATTAAAAAACAAAAGTGATAGATAGTGGTGGCACTTGCTTTTAATCCCAGTACTCAGAAGGCAGAGGAAGGCAGAATTCTGTGAGGTCTAGGCCAGCCTGGGCTACAGAGCTAGTTCCAGAACAGGCACCAAAGCTACAGAGAAATCCTGTCTTGAAAAACCAAAAATAAAATCAAAAATCAAGCATTTTTTTTTTCCAGGCTTGGTGCCTATAATCCTATAATTTAGGAAGCTAAGGTAGGGGGATTGCTGTGAGTTTGAGCCCAAACTGGGCTGCATAGTGAGTTTCAGGCCAGCTTGGGCTATAGAGTGAGACCTTGTCTAAAAAAGGGGATGTTTCTCACTAGAGCATTTTTCTTGTGGTGTCTTAGGTTGAAATTATGTTCAGTGCACATTCTTTATAATTTCCTAGGCCAGGTGGTTGCAGCTGTTCAGTGTGGTTGAGCGACAGTGCCAGGAGCAGATTGTTGCCCAGCAGGAGCAGTTTCACAGGCAGATCCAGGTGAGTTACCTCAGACATTGATGCTTTGCATTTGTGAGATTGCAGATAAAACAGTTCATGCATTAATTTTGTTTTTGAAGATACGACACCACATTTAGAGTAATAGCATGGACTTTTCTTAACATTAAAAAATGTTTAATGGCCAGGCGGTGGTGGCGCACGCCTTTAATCCCAGCACTTGGGAGGCAGAGGTAGGCGGATCTCTGAGAGTTCGAGATCAGCCTGGTCTACAAGAGCTAGTGCCAGGACAGGCTCCAAAACCACAGAGAAACCTGTCTCGAAAAAAGCAAAAAAAAAAAAAAAATGTTTAATGTAAGCCGGGTAGTGGCGGTGCACGCCTTTTAATCCCAGCACTTGGGAGGCAGAGGCAGGCAGACCTCTGTGAGTTTAAGGCCAGCCTGGTTACAAGAAATAGTTCCAGGACATGCTCCAAAACTACAGAGAAACCCTGTCTTGAAAAACAAAACAACAACAACAAAAAAAAATTGTTGAAAGTACTTCTCTACTCTTTTTGCTCTCAGCACATCCAGGAGGAGATTAGGAAGTTGGTGAAACTGCAGCTCAGCACTGCTTCCTGGCCTTCCTGGAGCAGCGGCTCTGTCAGTGAACAACAGGTGCCCTCAGAAAACCAAATGGGCTGCTTTTCTGAAAACAGTGAAAGAAATGAGTCTGTTACCAGTTACCCAGAGTCTAAGGAACCCGAGACACAGCCAGAATTGTCCACATCCCACCCAGACTGCAATGTGGACAGCAGTTCAGTGAGCAGTGGCTACGGCACCTTCTGTATCCTGGATATGAACACGCACAAGGCTAAGGAGCCCCCAGAACCCATGGAGCCTGAGGAGGCTTCCAAGGGGCAGCACACAGCCCCTGCGGTGCAGGCACATGCCCCCGTAGGTGGCACAGTAGCCATGAACTTTTTTGCACAGACCCCTGAAGAGCTTTGTGCACCTCTAAAGGAAGATGTTTCCACTTTTCCTGGTGAATTTGAACATAGTTTTCTTAGTGAAAACAAGATTTCAGAAGTATACAGTGGAAAAGCAAATAGGTAAGTAGAATTTCTCAATAATTTAAAGCGGCTTTTGCTTGTTTATTAATGACATTTAGAATATAGTAAATAAAAAATTTGTTCCACAGTAGAATGAAATATGTTTGGACACAAATCAGCTTTACCATTAAAATCTGACTCTTACATTGGGAGCTGCATGTGGAGAACTGAAATAAGCAGATCCAGTGTATAGTGACCCCGACTTTCCCATGTTCAGTGCTTAAGACTGTGACTGTTAAATGTGGGGCTGGAGAGTGCTTGGCAGTTAAGAGCTCTGGAGGCTCTTTTACAGGACCTGAGTTCTGTTCCCAGCACAAACATGGTGGCTAACAATTGTAATGGCAGTTCCAGTTGATCTAATACTCTCTCTCGGCCCCCTAGGATACTTTACATGTGTATTGTGGTGCATTTACATAGCATAATGGTAACACACCCATAAACAAAAAATCAACTTTTAAAAAAGACTCTTTCTTTCTCCTGCCTCTGCCTCCTGAGTGCTAGGATTAAAGGCATGCATCACCACAGCCTGGCTGAAAAAAGACTCTTAAATTTAGACTGGGTGTGGTGGCATATGCCTTTAATCCCAGTACTTGGGAGGCAGAGGCAGGAGGATCTCTGAGTTGGAGGCCAGCCTGGTCTACATACAGGACCGTCCTGAAAAGAAGAAAATAAAAACCAAAAATACTTCAAAGTCAAAAACAACAATAAATCTTATGAAATTTTGTGGTTTCCCATAAGTTTTCAGTTTTACACATCTGAAATGTGTTTTAGAAGCTGGGTATGGTGGTGCATATCTTTAACCCCAGCAGAGGCAGGTAGATCTGAGTTCAAGACCAATCTCGTTTATATGGCATGTTCCACGACAAGGGCTATATAATGGAGGGACTCTGTCTCAAGAAAGAAAGAAAAGAAAAAAAAAGAAAAGGAAGGGAAAGAAAAAGAATTAGGAGAATCAGGCAGGACCAGTGGGATGGCCCTGGATAAAGGTGCTTGCCATGCAAGTTTAATGACCTGAACTCTACCCCCTTAACCCATGGTGGAAAGAGGTAATTGATTCCGCAAACTTGTTCTCTGGCCTTTATGTGCCCACTGTGGCACACATACACCACGCAAATACACGGATAAATAAATACATCAACGAATGAATGAATAAAAATTTCGGAAAAATTTGCAGTTGCAGGGATCGTTGAGTGGTTTAAGAGTGCTTCCTGCTGTTCTAGAGAACCTGAGCTTCCAGCACACACACAGTGGCTCACAGTGATCTGGAACTCCAAGGGTAGTATACTAATGTCCTCTTTTAGCCTCTTCAGGCACCAGACCTCTGCAGGCCTGTAGCAGTCACAAATAAACATAGGCAAAACATTCATATCCATAAAAGTCTTTTTACTTTTTGGCTGGGCAGTACTGGTACACTCCTTTAATCCCAGCACTTGGGAGACAGAGGCAGGCAGATCTCTTGAGTTTGAGGCCATCCTGGTCTACAGAGCAAGTTCCAGGATAGTCAGGGCTACAAAGAAAAACCCTGTATCAAAGAAAAAAAAAGACACTTTTTACTTTTTTATTTATGTGCATTGGTGTTTTGCTTGCAGGCATGTCTCTGTGAGGGCGTCAGATCACCTGGAGCTGGCATTACAGACAGTTTGAGCTGCCATGTGGGTGCTGGAAATTGAACCCGTTTCTCTTAACCTCTGAGCCATCTCCCCAGAAAAGTAAATCTTTAAAATAAGAAAGTGTAGCATGAATTCTAGTTGGTCTTAATAATAAAAACCCAGAGTCAGATACAGGGGGTCAATGCTGAAGATCAGAGAAGCAAAGCAGCTAGCCACTGGAGAGTTCTTTTACCTCTCTCATTGCTCAGACCAAAGGAGCCATCCTATCCTCAGATTGTCTCCTCAGACTTCATACTCAGACTGCAACTGTCTCTATCAAAATCTCAGACTGCACTAAGCTCCTGCCTCCTCCCCCTTACATTCCTCATTCTGCTCAGCTATATTACTCCTGTCTCCACCTCCCTCGTGTTGAGATTAAAAGTGTATGATCCCAAATCCTGGGATCATCTTTGTGTGAGCTCTGTTTCTCTTTTAGACAAATTCAATCTTCTATAGCCCAGGGTGGCCTTGAACTAACAGAGATCTGTCTGCCTCTGTTTCCCTAATGCAGGTATTAAAAGCGTGTCCCTGTCCTCTAGTGGTTTAGCTCTGCGCTGTGGTCTTCAGACAAGCTTTATTTGTTAAAACACAAACAAAATATTACTACAAGAAAGAGTTTTAGGAGAGTCAGTAAAACTTTTTTTTTTTTTTTTTTTTTTTTTTTTTTTGGTTTTTGTTTCTTTGAGATAGGGACTCTATATAACCCTAACTCTCCCAGAACATGCTATATAGGCTAGTCTGGTCTCACACTTACAGAGATCTGGAATCTTGAGTGCTGGAATCAAGGTGTGCACCATTACACCTGCCCCTTTTTTACTACTAGTAGAAAAGCAAAACACTGCCCACTGAAGCACTAGATACTGTGCTGACTAATGGCTTTTAAACTAATTTTGTTTTTCTCCTTTTAAGTAGTAAGTCTATAACATCATGGGCACAAAAGCTGAAGCAGAACCAGCAAAAGCAAGCACATACAGAAGATGGCTACTTAAGACCTAAGCCAGGGAGCGAGTTAAACCAGAAGCCAGTTGAAACAGTAGGTGATAAGTGGCTCCTATGGTCACACTGGGGTTGCTATGTTTTTACTCCTTTGTTTATTTACAAATCTTTTTTTGTCTGTCTGACTTTCCTCTCTCTCTCTCTCTCTCTCTCTCTCTTTCTTTCTTTCTCTTTCTTCTTTTTGGAGACAAACCGAACCAAAGAAACAGACAAACAAAAAACAAAAACGATCCTCCAAACCCCAGTTCATTAAAAAACCAAAAAAGCTTTGGCTGGGGGTGTAGCTCAGTGGTAGAATACTTGACTGGTGTGTGCACATGAGCCCTGGGTCTTTTCTCTAGCATGGCAAAGTTTACCCTCAAATAGTATCTCTTGCTAGTACATTGCAACAAGTAGTACTGTATGTACTGAGCACTTTGAAATGCCTTTCTTAATTGTTGAAATTGTTGAAATTTGGGCAATTCTGATTTTATAATCTGAGTTATAAATTGGTAATAGATTAATTTTTGTCTTGTGGTTGGGTTTGCTGTCTAACCCAGGCCGTCTCTTGCTCTTGCCTCCCAGCCTCCTGAGTAGCAGGACTGTGTTATATCACCATACTCTGCAAGATGAAGTGTTTACACTCTGACCCAGCGACTGTGCTTAGTAAAGGGTCATAGACACAAAATTCCAGTGTATGTTGTTGCCATTATGGCCTAAATTGTAATGGGATAGATAGTACCGTTTAGTGCCCTACATGGATGTTCCCAAATCAGGTCCTTGACAAGCTGAGAGGCTCAGTGCCATACGAACTATGTCCTGATTGTCCTGAGCATAGACTTGCTGTTATCCTAGGAAACATGTCATAAGTGTTCCCAAGTCTTTGTTTTTTTTCTTTTTTCATTATCTGTTTACTCTTTTTTTTTTAAAAAAAATATTTATTTATTATGTATATAATATTCTTTCTGCATGTATGCCTGAAGGCCAGAAGAGGGCACCAGACCTCATTACAAATGGTTGTGAGCCACCATGTGGTTGCTGGGAATTGAACTCAGGACCTTTGGAAGAATAGGCAATGCTCTTAACCACTGAGCCATCTCTCCAGCCCCCTATCTGTTTACTCTTTACTTACTTTGGGTGTGGGTGTACACACTGAGCTCAAATGTGGACGTCAGAGCACTGGAGATTGAGCGCAGGCTGTCAGGCAGCAACAAACACTTGCAACCTCTGAGCCATCTCACCGTCCTTGTCCCCCAGTCTTTTTTAAATTTTATTTTTTGAGTCTAGATCTCACTGTGTAGTCCTGTCTAGCTGGAACTCTATGTAGACCAGGCTGGCCTGGAACTCACAGTGACCCTATCTTTGGAGGTGTGGAGAGTGAGATGGCATTTCAGTGTTAAGTTTTATAAAACAGAAAAAACTGTTATGTAGAAGAATGTTCTCACTTTATGCCAAACTACTACAAAAAATAGCAATTTTCTACCCTAATCTCCAAATAGTTTCAGACTACCATTCATTCCAAAGAAATGACATCCCACTATTGATGACACAGTAGCTCACAATGAGAGTCCCACTCAGAGCGTTAAAGGACCTTTCCAGAGTGCACTCCACAGAGGGTGATTTTGAGGTAGTACTGGCTGGTGACGTGGGGATGGCATGCCCAATGCATTTCTTCGTTGGAGAATTCTGGATTCACAGAAGTTGGACACTCTTTACTTGAACTGTTCTCTGTGCCCAGTGTTTTCAGTTTCATTTCACAGTGGGAACTGCTGATCAGAATTCTCCTCTGATGGGGTTTTCCTCTTGCACAGTGCTGGTTTATTCTGGGAAAAAGCTACTTTGAAGTCCATCTTGACTTGGTGCATTGTGTGGCACAAGCATTTTCCAGGGCTAAATTGCTGTTTCTTTGGTCCTTTGTTTCCATTTCATGAACTGAAGGACTTGGGTTTCTCCGATGGGCCCTTAGACTATGCTCCTGAGTAGGTCCTTGAGCTGGGCTCAGGCCAGTATCTTTGACTAAGAGGGCTTATATTTAGAAGGCCTTTGTTGAATCATGCTGTTACTTTATTTCAAGTGGGCCCTTTCTTGAGTGGATGGCCTTTTAAGGGTGGTGTGGGAGGGGAGGGATTTATTTGCCCAGAGGCTTGCAGCCAGCACCATTGTGTATAGCAGTATTTTAGTGCACGGTATGTGTTTGCTCCTGGCCTGAGGACTGAACCTCAGAAGCAGTGTGAGTTCTAAATATTTTACTTGGGAGTGCTTGACTTAGTCCCTGATAATCACTTTTCCAGACTGGAACAGTTAGGAGTTCTAAGAAACAATTGGTATCTTGATAAAAAGAGGTGGAATGGTACCTTTTACAGCAGACTTGTGATTAACTTATTCCTTCTAATAAAGTATTGCCCGGGTCCTTTGACTTGTGGAGGATGAAGGAGGAGGAGCACCTAGTAAGATATTGGTGAAGGTGTTGCCTTTAATCCCAGCACTCAGGAGGCCGAGGCTAGCAGATATCTGAATTACTAGTTCCAAGACTGCCAGGGATACACAGAGAAACCTCGATATATTCAAAACACCAAAAATAAATGAATTAAAAAAATAAAAGGAAGAAAGAAGAAAATGTCCTTGCTAAACATCTCTGTTTGAGACCGCTTTTCATTTCTTTGTAAGGTAAGCATGAAACCTAGCAGAGGCTCTTTGTGTGCAGCCAGCATTCCACTGTGCTTGCCCATCCCCAGAAAATAGATTCATGTGTGACAGACAGTATTAGAGGTACTATGATTCGTGTGTGTGTGTGTGAACACCTGCAGGCACCTATGGAGGCCGGAAGTTGTAGGTGGTTGTAAGCCATCTGATGTGAGGGCTGTGAACTGAATCAGGGTCCTTTGCAAGAGAAGTACTTGCTCTTAACCCTTAGCTGCCGGGTCACCTCTTAAACGCCATGTTTTTTTGTTTTTAATCAGAAGGGGTAGTAAGCACTTTTATTCTTTGCTGAGAAGTAACAGGCTGAGAGCCTGGTGCCATACACCTGTAATCTTAGCACTTAAGAGTATAGAAGGCAGGATGACCATGAATCCACAGTCAGCCTGGACTGCATAGCGAACTCTAGACCAGCCTGGGCTACATAGCAAGTCTCTGTCTCAAAAAAACAACGGTTTGGGGCTGGAGAGATTGCTTAATGGTTAAGAGCATGGGCTGTTTTTTCAGAGGATCTGGGTTCAGTTCCCAACACCCATATGGTAGCTCATAACTATCTGTAACTTTAGACTCAGATTACCTGATACTATCTTCTGATATCCATGGGCACCAAGCACACAAATGGTCCATGGGCATACAGGCAGGCATAATACCCAAATACATAATAATGATGATGATAAAAAATTAAAACCCCAAACCAAGGGCTAGGGAATGTAGTTTATGGTAAAGTGCTTTTCTAGCATGGCTAGTGTCCTGGGTTTGATCTCTGTCACCAACACACACACACACACACACACACACACACACACACACACACACACACGAGTCTGTTACTGGGGATATGAAGGTGATGAGTTTCAGATCATCCTGGGCTTTATAGCAAGACCCTGTCTCACAGAAACAGAAGGAAGTGCTGAATTATAACTTAGAGGTAGAGCAAATTTTGCCTAGTGTGCCCACCCTGGGTTTAATGTTGTTCACAAACAACTCAAAATTAATTTGTTATTTGAGGTTCATGTTGATTTGTGATTTTGAGTCATTTGATTTATTGAAGTTGTGATGATATAAACAGATTAGTAGGTTAAACCCCTCCCCCCCCCACGAGGCAGGGTTTCTCTTTATAGCCCTGGATGTCCTGGAACTTGCTCTGTAGATCAGGCTAGCTTCAAACTCACAGAGATCCTCCTGCTTCTTCCTCCCAAGTGCAGGGATTAAAGGTATGTGCCAACATGCCCGACTAATTTTTTACTAAATGACTAATTCTAGATTTCTCAAATTATTGTCAGAAATCGATAGCAGACTATAAATACAGTTTAGTTCTGAACTCATAGATTACACCTTCTTTCAGCTTTCTAAGCTTTCTAGTTCCTTCTAACGACCCTCTAGTTCCATAGTGTTCAAAAAAAAAAAAAGCTTTGACAGATGGTGCAGGGAAGGAGAAGCTGCACTGTTCATCTTTCATACTGCATTCTTGCAGCTGCGGAGAATCAACACTCCGCTCTTCGTGGCCTGCTGAGGCCCCTGTTTAAGTCCTGGAGTATCCCTGGGTCAACAGTGTGTGCCAAATGCATTTAACTGCCCACCAATTGTCCTCTTTCCTCTCTTGCAGCCCAACCTTGCCGCCACCACCACACATCCTTGTGCCTTTTACCTCAGTAAACCAACTGAAAGCTCAAGTTCTTGCTTGTCTGATTCAGGAACAGGTATGGAACTTAAACTAGTTTTTATATTTTTCAAGACAGGTCTCACTATGTAGACCTAGCTGTCCTGGAACTCAAATATATGATTAGTCTGGCCTCTAACTTAATCCTATGTGCTGGGATTAAAGGTGTTCCAGCACATGGTCTGGAACTTAAATTTAAAAGAAAAAAATCGGGCTGGAGAGATGGCTCAGTGGTTAAGAGCACTGTCTGCTCTTCCAGAGGTCCTGAGTTCAATTCCCAGCAACCACATGGTAGCTCACTACCATCTGTAATGAGATCTGGCGCCCTCCTCTGGCGTGTAGGTATACATGGAGGCAGAAAGTTGTATACATAATAAATAAAATAAAAAAAAATCGTGACCTTTATTTTGATTGATGTATATGAGTGTTTTGCTGACATGTGTGACATGTATACCATGTCTATGCCTGGTGCCATGCGAGGCCAGAAGAGGATGTTAGATTCTCTGGAGCTGGAATTATAGATGTGAGCTACCATGTGGGTGCTGGGAATTGGACCTGGGGCCTCTGGAAGAGCCACAAGTGCTCTTACCTACCAAGCTATCCCTCTAGCCCCCTGAACTTACAGAGTCTATTTTACCCACAGCTTGCTTTCATTTTCCACTGTGGTGTGAGAAGTGTGTGCAGTATCTGACTTCACCAAAAGCACCGTGCGTTTCTCTCCGTTTCCACAACTTTCCCGTTTGCCTTAGTTTGTGTTAAATTCTACAGCAATGGGGTGAGGCAGTCACCCACAGAGGCTCGAGACAGCTGCAGAAGCCATCGCAGACGTTTTCTGTTGTCCACAGGATTCAGCGAGTTCAGACCCTCTGCTAGCCGTGGCCAGCTGTTCTGTCTTCTGGCTTTATGTGCTGACTCCCCGATAGCACCGTTACCCACATGACACATCCACTTACCAGTTTGAATTAGCTTTGCTTGAACAGAAACTGGAATCCAGCCGCCTCTTCCTGTTCCCACTGCTCCCACAGCTGAGGCACTCCCTTTCCGCCACCTTCTGACCTGCCTCCCTGCCGCCATACTACCCTTACCCTTCAGTCTGTTGACTGCCAGCACTCCCATTTCCTCAGAATAACAGCCAGCATCCTTATGGAACCCCACAAGGCTCAGCAGAATGGAGCTGATTGCCTTTCCTCTGTGATGAGACTTCGTCCACTTTTGCTGGAGACTTTTTTTGAAGACTTTGCCTGACCACCTCCTCCACTCAAATATTTCCTACTGATGGGAGGAAACTCTCCTAGTAGTTACTTTCTCAGTGAACCAGCCTTTATTATCCTTTGAAAATAGTTCCTGCCCCCAGAACCCCACCTTTTCTGTGAACCTCTTTTCTTTTTGAAAAGATCCCGTGTATCCCAGATTGGCCCAGTTGCTGTTTAACTGATGAGAACTTGAACTCCTAGTGTTGGGATTATGGCAGCATGTCAGCATGTTTTATGCTACTTGAATGCAGAACTCAGGGCTTCATGAATGTTAGGCAAGCACTCTCCCAGCTGAGAGCCCTACTCCTCTGTGTATGTATGTGTGTATTTGCATACAAGCATGCTCTTGCATGTGGGGTACACAAGCACATGTGTGTGCATGCTTGTTGAGACCAGAGATCAATCTAGGGTGTTGTTTGTTAGGAGCTATCTATACATTTTTTTAAATCTATCTTTCTTTCTTTCTTTCTTTCTTTCTTTCTTTCTTTCTTTCTTTCTTTCCTTCCTTTCTTGTATACAGTTAGCCAGAAGAGGGCACCAGACCTCATTACAGATGGTTGTGAGCCACCATGTGGTTGCTGGGAATTGAACTCAGGACCTTTGGAAGAGCAGGCAGGCAATGCTTTTAACTGCTGAGCCATCTCTTCAGCCCCCTATCTATATTTTTTTGAGACAGAGTCTCACTATGTAGCCCTGGCTAGCCTAGAACTCACTATGTAGATCAGGCTATCTTCAGACTTAGGGTGACCCTCCTGCCTCTGCCTTCTAAGTGCTAGGATTACAGATATATGCCATTATACACAGATTTAATGGGGAATTTGAACTCTTTACATTGATTATATGGAAGCCTGTATTTGTAAATAACATTCTCTTTAAATTACATTTTTAGCTATTACTAAATCATTTTGGTTGTTTATATTTTGAAGCAAATTTTTACTAATTTATTTATTTATTTGGGCTAGGCGACAAGGACATACCATTGTGTGTGTGAAGTTCTCTCCTATTATGTGAATCTTGGGGGCCAGAACTCAGGTCATCAGATTTGGAAGCAAGAATCTTTAATCTGAGCCCTCTCACTGACCCGTGATTGAACTGTGTTCTCTGTGTGTGCACATCAGGGCTGACTTACTGGAAGCTGGAGGAGAAGGACATGTATCACTCTTTGCCTGACACTTTGGAGAAGATGTTTGCACCGTCCTCCCTAGACAGACCACTGAGCCAGGTGATGCAGAGTACTGCGTGTGTGCTTTTGTTTTATGATTGTAGATAACTTTGTCATCATAGATTTTTTTTTTTTGCATTGTTTCAGTTTCCAAAATGCTGGGGAAAACATAGGCTTGAGAGTCAGATCGACCTTTCAACTATATCTCACCTCATTTCCTGCATAATCTCAAAAAGGTTACTTTAAAGTGGAATTAAGCTAGGGGTGATAGTACATTTTCTTAATCTTTCCTTTTTTCTTTCTTAAGACAGGCTTTCTCTGTAGCTTTTGGAGCCTTGTCCTGGAACTTACTCTGTAGACCAGGCTGGCTTTGAACTCCCAGAGATCCACCTGTCTCTGCCTCCTGAGTGCTGGGATTAAAGACGTGCACCATCACCGCCTGGCTCATTTCCTTAATCTTAGCACTAAGTATGCTGAGGCAGGTGAATCACTGTGAGTTGGAGGCAGCTTGGGGAACATAGTGAGACCCTAGTTCAAGAAAGCAGAACAAACAACAATCAAAAATAAAGGCTGGGGAAGAACTCAGTCAGCATGGAGTTTATCTTACAGCCCCGACTTTAATCCCCATGATGTATCTATGAAAAGCCTTGAGTGTTGACACATGCTTCTTACACTGCTCCTGGCAGCTGGAGCTGGAGCCAGGCAGTTTCTGGGGCTAGATGGTCAGTCAGTTTGTACTAGTTGGGAAGTTCCAGGCCAGTGAGAGAGTCTGTCTCAAAAATAAAGGTGAATGGAGGAAGAGGTTGGCCTGTGGTCTTCATATAGATAGGTAATTTTTTTTTTTTTTTTTCGTTTTTCGAGACAGGGTTTCTCTGTGGCTTTGGAGCCTGTCCTGGAACTAGCTCTGTAGACCAGGCTGGTCTCGAACTCACAGAGATCCGCCTGCCTCTGCCTCCCAAGTGCTGGGATTAAAGGCATGCGCCACCACTGCCCGGCTATAGATAGGTAATTTTGTGTGAACACACAGACGCACAATATGGACAGACATAGACACACAGATATTAAAAACTAACAAGTAAAAATGCTGAGCTGATGTTTTTGAAATTAAATGTTTCTTGCCTACTGTTTCTTTTCTTTCTCTTCTTTTTTTCTCTGTGTGTAGTAGGTTATTGGCAATTAATTTCTTCCCTTTCCCTTTTTCCTAGGCCTGACTGATTTCTATCCTTTCAAAACTCCCACTTGATGCATTTGTAACATAATTATGAAGCCTTTAACTTACAGTATTTTCTTTAAGAAATATAAATATTTTGTGTCTTTTACTTTTTTTAAGACAAGGTTTCAGGTAGTGTCCCACCTGATCTTCAACTCATTGTGTAGCTGAAAGTGACTTTGAACTCTTGATCTTTTTGCCTTGCTGTCCCCGGGTCTGGGATCCTAGGTGTATGCTGTCCTCCCAGGCCATCTTTCTCTTACATGCTCTGATCAAGTGAGGAGGAGAGTGCACTGGGGAAATGAAAGGTTTGTAAGCAGTGGCACTGGGGATACGGATCAGACATGGAGCTCTTAATGTGCAGTGCCCTTGAATTGATGCCCAACACCACAAAACAAAGACCCCCCCCCAAAATAAAACAGGGAAATACAATAAGAAAGAAGTAACACACACGAAAGTGAGAGATAAAATAAAAAACAAGTTAGAAAAGCCTCGTGTGGCAATAAGGTAGAGACAGGTGGATTGCTAGAAGCTGGTGACTGCTAGTCTAGCTTGCTTGGCAGAACTGTAGCACAGTGAGAGACCTTGTCTCAAGCAAAAGGGAGAAAGAAGATGCTTAAGGAATGACACCAGAGTTTGCCTCTGATTTACACACATACACGAACCCACAAACATGAACACACAAGTATTGATTTCTGGTAAATTGTGTATATTAGTGTATGCTTATAGTACTAGCTAGCTGCTTGGGAGGCTACAGTGGGAAGATCACATAGGTCCAAGAGTTTAAGACCAGCCTAGGCAACAGAGGGACCTTGTACACACCCCCAACAAGAAAATCCATGGCACCTTTGTGGGATTTAGTAGGGTCTAAGTTTGAAATATATGGTGGTTGGGAAGATAGCTCAGCTAGTAAAGGTACCTGCCACCAAGCCTGACAGCCTGAATTCAACTCTTCAAGCTGCCGTGGCACATGCCACGTGTACACATAAAATCATACATGAAAGTAATACAAATTTTAAAGTTCTTTTAAATACCTGTGTGTGGGGCTGGAGAGATGGCTCAGAGGTTAAGAGCATTGCCTGCTCTTCCAAAGGTCCTGAGTTCAATTCCCAGAAACCACATGGTGGCTCACAACCATCTGTAATGGGGTCTGGTGCCCTCTTCTGGCCTGCAGGCATACACACAGAATATTGTATACATAATAAATAAATAAATAAATATTTAAAAAAATAAATACCTGTGTGTGAGTGTGCGAGTGTGTCTATATTTGTATTTGTACTGTGTGGTTCTAGGAGCCTGTGGAAGCCAGAAAAAGGTATTTGATTCCTTGGGACTTGAGTTAAGGGAGATTGTGAACCACCTTGTAGTTCTGGGAACTGAAGTTAGGTTGTCTGCAAGAACAAGTGCTTTTACCTGCTCAACTATCTTGCCAGCCTCTGTTCTTGTTTTCTTGTCTTATGTAGTCTACTCTGACCTGGCATTCAGCATGACCTTGAATCCTGATCTTCCTGTTCCCACTGTCCCTGTTCTGTTCTGGGATTATATGTTTGCTGAGAAAAACTTGGTGTTTTGTTTTGTTTTGTTTTTTTTTTTTTTTTTTTTTTTTTGTTTGTTTGTTTGGTTGGTTTTTCGAGACAGGGTTTCTCTGTGGTTTTGGAGCCTGTCCTGGAACTAGCTCTTGTAGACCAGGCTGGTCTCGAACTCACAGAGATCCGCCTGCCTCTGCCTCCCGAGTGCTGGGATTAAAGGCGTGCGCCACCACCGCCCGGCTTGTTTTGTTTTTTTAAAGATTTATTTATTTATTATGTATAGTGTTCTTGCCTGCACATATGCCTTCAGGCCAGAAGAGGGTGCCAGATCTCATTACAGATGGTTGTGAACCACCATGTGGTTGCTGGGAATTGAACTCAGGACCTTTGGAAGAGCAGGCAATGCTCTTAACCACTGAGCCATCTCTCCAGCCCTCCAACTTGGTGTTTTTTAAAATACAGTATTTTGGGCTGGAGAGATGGCTCAGAGTACTGGCTGCTCTTCCAGAAGACCCTATAGAACAAATAATAAAAGCCCAATGACAAAAATTGTGGTTCAACCCAAAATGGCTTAGTTTGCTGTCACCCAGCTTTGGTAGAGGTAAGACTTCTAGTGGCTTGCCTGTCTTTTCTGGTTTTTGGGTTGAATTCCATTTTCTGTCTCTGGGCTTTTATTATTGGTACTACAGGACCCAGGTACAATTCCCAGCATCTACGTGTCAGCTTATAACTGTGTAACTCCAATTCCAGGAGATCTGATGTTGAATTTTGGCCTTCTCAGGACCACCAAAGATGCCAGTGGTAGCCAGTCATATATGCAAGCAAAACAGGAATACACATTAGAAAAAAAAAAAGAAAGAAAGCCCACATATAATAGGGTTCTGTAGACTGGCCAGTGCTCTTCACTGCTGAGCCATGTCTCCAGCTCTCAAACACTGGTTCTTTTGAGTGGGGACACAGAATATTAGTCAGTTTTCCATTGTTGTAAGAGAATGTATCAAAAAGACAAAAGACTTATTCATGGCATCTAAGTTTCAGTTCATTGTTATTTCAAATTGCTTTTTGGTCTGTGGTGAGGCCAAAGATCATGGACAGACAGAGTAGAGAAAAACGGCCGTGAGGTAAAGAAAAAGAGAGGAAAGGACCAGAGTATCTTTGAAGGACATGTCCCTGGTGACCTAACTTTCTTCTACTAGGCTCCACCGTTTCAAGGATCCAGTGTTTTCTGATGTCACTGTCAGTACATGAGTCTTTGAGGGACAGTGAGGCTCCAGACCATGTCAAGGACCACCGAGGATTGTATTTGTGGACTGCTAACCAGATCCCAATGTTCTCTTAGTCCCTATTGTTAGGAGATAAGCAAGTTTTCATTCTGAAGGAGGCATCACTAGAAAGGTCTTCAAAGCTGATATTATTAATTCGAAGGTCTAGATTTTCAGTCTATTTAAAATCTTCCACAGATTTTTTTTTTTAAATATTTATTTATTTATTATGTATACAATATTCTGTCTGTATGTCTGCAGGCCAGAAGAGGGCACCAGATCTCATTACAGATGGTTATGAGTCACCATGTGGTTGCTGGGAATTGAACTCAGGACCTTTGGAAGAGCAGGCAATGCTCTTAACCGCTGAGCCATCTCTCCAGCCCCCTTCCACAGATTTTTTTAAGGTGCTGATCTTGATAGCAGATTTTTTCATTGTTAATAATACCGTTTAAATTATTTTGTTTCGTATCTTTAAGTTTCGTGCCAGTAATGAGATGAAGTGACTGTTACTGTTCTGTCCTAGAAAACAAAGCGAAAGCAAAGCAGTTTCTTGATGGGTACCTCACCCTTGCTTCCAGTCCCAGTCACCTGATGAAGTACAGTAGGACGTTCTCTTCAGCCTCACTGTCCCTCAAAGACTGAGAGCTAAGGCCCACTTTCCTGATAGCCAGCAACCCAGCCTGATCACCAAGGCCTCAGCCTGATGCTTGTCCATCTTACTTCCAGGTCCTGACTCTGGATCCAACCATACATATGAAGCCAAAGGAGAAGGCTGCGGGGATTCGGCCCCATGGCTTTTTGAGTGCTCTTGACGACAGAATATCCTTTTCTCCAGACTCTGTTCTGGAGCCAAGCCTGTGCAGTCACTCTGACAGTGACTTGTTTTCACAAGCAAGTCATAATGCTTCTCAGGTATCTGGGTTCCCCAAATATCCTTCAACTACGAAAGCGTCACCTGTGGACACTTGGAAAAGCCATACATTCCACAGTGAAAGTAGGACGAGTTCCACGGTCCCTTCACTCTGCACCATCACTAGCAACGATATCTCAGTCAGAACTGTAGATGAAGAAAACACTGTCACAGTGGCTTCCGCCTCAGTCAGTCAGTCCCAGCTTCCAGGTACAGCCAACAGTGTCCCAGAATGCATTTCATTGGCTTCCCTGGAAGATCCTGTGATGTTGTCTAAGTATGTATTTCAGCAACTGACTTATACTGCTAATGTTAATAGACTTGTGATGTCTGATTGAATGATGAAAATGGTTTTTATTGGACCACAGTAAAATATAAAATCTTAATGAAATATAACCAATGTGTGTTTTTCACTATTGACAGCTATGTTGAAGTTGATAAAGGTTGGGTATGGTGGCACTTGCTTGTAATCCCAGTACTTTTGAGATAGAGGTGGGAGGATCTCTGTGAGTTCAAGGCCAGCCTGGTCTAGAGAGTGAGTTTCAGGCTAGCCAAGACTACACAGTGAGACCCTGTCTTAAAATCAGAAGCAAAGGTGCTGACACAGGCATCCCGTAAATGGGAGCTAAGCAGAATGCTTCTATGTCTAGAGCATATGGGACATCTGTTGTGTTTTCCAGGGTGGATGGGGGAACAGGTTGAACTCTGGCTGTGAGAATGACTGTGGTTTTTTTGGTAGCTACTTTTCTCATTCCTGTGACCAAACACCTGGCAAAAGCATCTTAAGGAAGGAAGGGTTTGTTTTGTCTGACAGTTTGAGGGGTACAGTCCAGCACAGTGAGAAGGATGGTGGCAGGCGGCAGACATGAGACTGCTGGTCACGCCATATCTGTAATCGAGGTACAGAGAGAAGACACTGGTGCTCAGCTTGCTTTATCTTCTTTGTCCTTTTTCTTTAATCTGGGACCCCAGCCCATGGACACTCAGAGTGGGTCGGTTAAGCCTCTCTGGAAACACCCTAACAGACACACCTCTGTGTCTCTTAGGTGACTTCTGTCAAGTTGCCAGTGAAGATTAACTGCCCCAGGTCCATCCCTTTCAGTTAGCCCTGAAACATGTGGATTGACTGTCTTTCCTTAGAGCATCTTCCCTCTCACTGACAGAATCCGGCAGAACCTCAAGGAGAAGCATGCACGACACATAGCGGATCTTCGAGCTTACTATGAATCAGAGATAAATAGTTTGAAACAGAAACTGGAGGCAAAAGACACTTCTGCCATTGAAGAGTGGAAGAAGAAAAATGAAATTCTTATAGACAGGTAAGGCTACCATGGAGCTAGTGTTTCTCCACCTTGGGTAGATTGCTTCCACAAAGTATATCATGGTGTGGTATAAAATGCTGTGCTTTGTATCTGTGTAAACTAGGACGTGTAAACTAGGACATGTCTGGAGACACAAGGGGTTAATCCTCTAGTAACTGACACAAGCCATGCCTTTCATGTGGGTAAAGTTCTGAAGGAGTAGAGTCAGAAAATAAAGAATAGTCTGTGAATCTTTACCATTGTGGAATTCTGGGAAAAGTAAGAATCCTGGGATGTGGGCTGGTGAGATAGCTAAACAGGAAGCACACTTCCCACCAAGTCGGCTGAGCCCAGCTTGATCCCTCGTACTCACGTGGTGGAGTGGGGAACTATTCACTCGCTTACACACTAGGAATATACATGCAGAATTAGAATTCTAGCGGGGCGATGGTACACGCCTTTAATCCCACAACTCAGGAGGTAAAGGCAGGCGGATCTCTGTGAGTTCAAGGCCAGCCTGTTCCAGAGAGTGAGTTCCAGTACAGCCAGGGCTACACAGAGAAACCCCGTGTGGGGAGGGTAGGGGGAGTGGGGAAGATGAAGAATTCTGGGACTTTGGGTGCTGGGAGTGTAGCTCATTGGTAGAGTATTGGGCTTAGTGTCATGAGACCTTGTGTTTTAACCCTAGCTTTATAACGAAAAAGAAAGAAAGAGAATGCGGCAACTTTTGTGTGTGGTAGAGGTGGTGGGGTGAGGAGGCGGAGAGGGGGCAGACAAGGGACGGGTAAAGACTATACCATATACATGTATGGTACAGTCAAAGAACATATTTAACCATCTGGAGAGATGCATACTGCTCTTCCAGAGGTCCTGAGTTCAGTTCCCAGCACTGATATCAGGTGGCTCACAGTTGCCATTAATTCTAGCTCCAGGGGATAATGGTATGGGGAGCCCACTAGAGATAACCACTCGGACACAGTATAGCCAGTTGAAAGTCTTTATTCCAACTGGCTGGAACCACATCCAAAGTGTTCATAGACCTAGGTGAGGCCCCAAGTGTCTAGAACATGGTTTTTAAGGGCAGAGACCTCATCTAGGAATCTCTTTTGGGCAGCTGCAAGAATAGGCAGCTTGAAGCAAGCAGTTTTTGCTTTTTTGTTTTGTTTGTTTGTTTTTCAAGACAGCGTTTCTCTGGAGCCTGTCCTGGAACTAGCTCTGTAGACCAGGCTGACCTCAAACTCAAAAGAGATTTGCCTGCCTGAATGCTGGGATTTGTGGGGTTTTTCTTTGTTTTGTTTGGTTTGGTTTGGTTTTTTTTTGAGACAGGGTTTCTCTGTAGCTTTGGAGCCTATCCTGGAACTAGCTTTTGTGGCCTCGAACTCACAGAGTTCTGCCGCCCGAGTGCTGGGAATAAAGGTGTGTGCCACCACCGCCCAACCTGAGTGCTGGCATTAAAAGCATGTGTCACTGCTGTCTGGTGATGCAGAAACTAACATAAGCAATTAGCTGAAGGAGGTTCCATACAAACAAGCAGTTTTAACAGAGGCTAATGAGTTAGCTAGTACATCCTGACACAGAGATGGGTAGTTTTCCATGGGATTCTAGTTAAACCTGGAAACAGCCTCTGGAAGAATAGAAGTTGAAGGAACTTCTGTACTGTCTTCTCCCTTCACAATCTGGTGCCTGCTTATGGACTGCGGATACCTGTGAACATGTGTGACTTCTCTCTCTCTCTCTCACACATACACACACACACAAACACACACACACACATACATTTTAAAAGAAAGATTGTGAGACTAATGTAAAGTGTTTAACGTAGATCTGGCATTTAAATCAGGCTAACCTGATTTATCATTAAACACTGAGTCAGATGGTAGCTGAATTTTGTGGACCTTGTTGAGGTCTGTGATAACTTGCAAAGGAATTCTTTATAGGAATCATAATTTAGGGGCTGGAGAGATGGCTCAGCAGTTAAGAGAATATATTTCTCTTCCAGAAGGATCCAAGTTAACTTCCCAGCACCCATGACAGGTAACACATAACTGTCTGTAACTCTAGCTCCAAAGATTTCCTACCTCTGGTCTTTAATGGAACACACACACACACACACACACACACACACACTCATATGATTAAAAAGAAAATAAATCATTGTACTGGAGATGGCTTAGCATTTAAGAGCACTTTTAGGGATCTCACAGCAGCTAGTCACTGTCTGTAATTCTATGTAATTCTAGTCTCAGGAGAGCCAGTGCCCTCCCAGGTACTGCAGTACTTACGTGGTGAACAGATGCTCATGCAGGCAAAACACCCACACACAAAAATAAAATCTCAGAAGAGTTTAGCTAAAAAAAAATAAACATTGGACATGGTGTCGTAAACTTTTAATTGTAGCACGCGAGGAGGCTAAGACAGGCAAATCTCGAAGTTTGAGGCCAGCCTGGTCTATAAAATGAATTCCAGGACAGCCAGGGTACATAGAGAAATGGTGTCTCTAAAAAAAATGGAAAAAAAATAGTATTTCATGGCTGGGGAGATGGTTCAGTTGGCAAAGCACTTCAATTGTAAGTGTGAGGACATGGTATTGATCCCATAGCCTGCGTGAAAAAGAGCTGGGCACTTGTAATTCCAGTACCATGGAGTTGGAGACAGAAGGATCCCATGGCTCATTGGCTAGCCTGTCTAGCCAAATTGGTGAGCTCCAGGCCAAAGATACCATTTCTCAGAGGAAGCGGGTATCGTTCCTACATATGACAGCTGATCCTTCGAACTTCTACACACATGTATACATTTAATAAAAAGAATAGTGCATTAATGTTGAGTTTGAAACAGCTCAGAAAGATGCTGTGCCCTGACTCCAAATAGCCCAGCTCTTTATATCCTGGACATGTGTTTATTCAGACAGATTTTCCCACGCTAACATCAAGCTATTTTGTACAGTTTTCTCTATTTTAAAAATATAAAATTTAAATATCAAATTGTGTATAACAAATTCACTGTTTTAAGTGTGCAGTTCAGTAGCTGAAATATATTAACAATATCCATCTTCAGAACCATTTCCTCCTGTAAAGCAAACTCTGGTAAAAGTGCCTGCTGCCAGGCCTGGCAACCTGAGTTCTATTCCTGGAACCCACATGGTGGAGGGAGAGAAGAGGAGATTTTTGCAAGTTGTCTTTACACACACATCAAACAAACAAACAAACAAGCAAACAAATGGGAATAAAACTAACCCTGAAATTCTGGTCTGGGGATGTAGATCAGTTGGTAGAAGGCTTGCCTAGCATGTGTGAGGTGCTGGGTTCAATCCCCAGTAGGCGCTTCCCCCTCAGTGTCAATAGATAAATATTGGGAAAAGAATAATGAAATACAAAGAGCAATTAAGAACTGAAGCCCAGTTCTCATTAGACCCTTATCCCCACCCCACCACCTTTCCCCTGACATTGGTTACTTCTGTCCTGTTTGTTTCCATGAATTTGAACAAATACTCTGCAAGTGGAATCACAGTATTTATCTTTCTTTTCCTTTTCCTTCTTTTGGTGCTGGGAATGGAACCCAGGCTTGCAGAGACTAGGGATATGTGTTTTGCTACTGACATGTAGTGGCAGACTTATTTCACTCAGCATATCCTCAAGATTGGTTCATGGTATTAGAATTTCCTCTTTGTTGGTGATTGTGGCACACACCTTTTTTTTTTTTGTGGTTTTTCGAGACAGGGTTTCTCTGTGGTTTTGGAGCCTGTCCTGGAACTAGCTCTTGTAGACCAGGCTGGTTTCGAACTCACAGACATCCGCCTGCCTCTGCCTCCCGAGTGCTGGGATTAAAGGCGTGCGCCACCACCGCCCGGCTTGGCACACACCTTTAATTCCAGTATTCAGGAGGCAGAGACAGGCAGATCTCTGGGAGTTCATGGCCAGCCTGGTCTGCAAGAGCTAGTTTCAGGACAGAAACCCTGTCCCAAAAAACCAGAAAAACAAAAACGAACAAAAAAAGAGAAATTATTTTGTTTCCTAACTGATTCTAAATTTGCTTTTTTTAGATGTGGCCAACTGGACAGTGCATTGAATGAAGCTACTAGTCGTGTGCGAACACTTGAGAATAAGAATAATTTGCTAGAAATAGAAGTGGTAAGTATTGTTTTATATGGCAGATTCTGGTGTCATAATGTCTAAAAGGTATGTATCATTACAACTTTTAATTTTGTTTACTGGATGTATAGCTAGGTGTGCAGAAGCTTTTTTTAAAAAGTGTGTAGCTCCAGCTTTCCTAGAACTTGCTGTGTAGACCAGGCTGGCTTTGAACTCACAGAGGCCCACTTCTGCCTTCCAAGTATTAGGTTCTTTCTTTCTTTCTTTTTTTTTTTTTTTTCCACTATACCAACGAGGACCAAGTATTAGGTTCAAAGGCATGTACTACTGTGCCTGACTTAAACTTTTATATTTTTGTTTTCTTTCTTTCTTTCTTTCTTTTTCCTTTTCATTCTTTTCTTTCTTTCATTTTTTTGAGACAGGATTTCTCTGTGTGTAGTCCTAGCTGTCCAAGAACTTATTCAGTAGACCAGGCTGGCTTTGAATTCACAGAGATCTGTCTGCCTCTGCCTCCCAAGTGCTAGGATTAAATGCATGTGCCACACCACCCAGCAATAAGTTTTATTTTTTTTTTTTTTTTTGGTTTTTCGAGACAGGGTTTCTCTGTAGCTTTGGTTCCTGTCCTGGAACTAGCTCTGTTTACCAGGCTGGCCTCGAACTCACAGAGATCCGTCTGCCCCTGCCTCCCAAGTGCTGGGATTAAAGGCGTGCGCCACCACCGCCCGGCTATTCTTTTTCTTTTTATTCTTTATATATTACCTTATAAGCAAAATTTTGGTGGGAAATACCTGTTTTGTTCTATGCATTGCCTCTGCTTTAATGCCTAGCCCCCTTCTGGGTAGAATTCAGGTTCTAACGAAGCTAGGCCAGTGTTTAATAACTGAGTCATTTTGTTGGCTTCATCTATATGATAAACTCTACCATGAAGTTAGGGACTAGTATTTTGGTTATCTTACTTTCTTGCTATATTCTAGCTCAGGGTGGTCTTGGACTTGTGTATAAGCAGGCTTTGCGGTTCAACCTTCTAATCAGTTAGACCGCAGGCAGGAGGCTTTGCGCCCAGTTTTCATCTTACATTTTGGCATCCTGTAGCATGGCACCTATTTGGTATTTCAGAAATCACCATTGAATGAATGTTAACACATGAGGTACATTTTTAATTTTGTGTTTCCATAGAGTATAGAGAATCCCCAGCCCTCAGCATATGAATATTGAACGGTGCATTCTAGTCACAGTTTCAGAATTCCTCTGATGTTTGTAGTTATTTTTTTTCTTCGTTAGGTTGATCCACAGACAGTCCTATGCAAGTCCTAGAATCCTTGTACCCCTCTATGTGCTTGTTTTCTTTCTCCGCCTTTGATAATCTCATGGAGTAGCTCCATTAGAGGGGTCCTCTCTAGTCTCTGTCGCAGGACACAGCAGGATGTCACGTAGCTTATTTCTGTTTGTATGCGTTTTTGTTTTTAATTTTAATGTCCATAATTGATCAGCTAATACGGAGGCACTGTTTTCACTTGGAATGATTTACCTCTGTCTTCACTGTGTAGAATGATTTGAGAGAACGCTTCAGTGCAGCCAGCAGTGCCTCCAAAATTTTGCAGGACCGAATTGAGGAAATGAGAACAAGCAACAAAGAAAAAGATAACACCATTATTCGGCTAAAATGTCGGCTGCAGGATCTGGAAGAAGCGTTTGAGAATGCTTACAAACTCTCAGATGATAAAGAAGCTAGGCTGAAACAAGAAAACAAAATGTTTCAGGATGTAAGTACCCAGTGCACTGTGGCTGCTGTCTGAGTCCTCTGACAAAAGCAGCTTTAGGAGACAGGGTTAATTTGGCTTCCGCTCCAAAAGGACAGTCCTCTGTCATGGGAAAGCATGGCTGCAGGCAGGGGAGGTGTGGTGGCAGGAGTAGGAGGCCGCGTGGTCACATTACATCCACATATGAGAAGCAGAGTGAGTAGAAAGTTCTTTCAGGCCATAAAACCTCAAGGCCCAGCCCTTGTGACTCATTTCCTCTAGGAAGTCTCCACAACCTTCCCAAACAATGCCAACAGCTTGGGACCAAGTGTTTAAACGGAAGCCTGTGGAGTGTACCCTCAGAAGCTGCGGTGACTTTCTAGGGACATTTTGGTCTAAGCTGCCTGTAGCTCTGCATACCCTCCGGGTGGCAGCGGTCCCTGTCACCTTGTGTCAGAGCTGTAGAAAGATGGCTGAACTCCCTCACTGCTCTTTCCTAGTGTGTCACTTTTTGAGTTGTCATAACACCTGTGGGTGACAAGGTAAAATGATATAAGCCAGATTCTGTGCAAGGCTTTTTTGAGAGAGGGGCTTGCTATATTGCCCATACTGGTCTTGAACTTGTAATTTCCTTGTCCCAGTCTCTTGTGTGCTGTAGTTATAGGTGTTCACCCCCATGCCTGGCTATTTGTTATTGTTTTTGTGTGTTGCAAGCCCTCTTCCCACATTCCATTCTGCAGTTATAGTCTAGAACCCTAATGGTATCATTGCTTTAGTGTGTGTGTACTGTCTATGGTGTTTCATTATTATCCATTCCCCATTTCCTGCCCCAGGTGCTAGGGATAGAGTCCAGAACACAGTTCAAGGTATACTACCAATAGAGCTGCGTCTATGGTCCTTTAGAGATAGACTGTTTTTTTTTTTTTTTTTTGTTTGCTTTGTTTCAAGACAGGGTTTCTCTGTGTAGTCCTGGCTGTTCCAGAACTTGCTCTGTAGACCAAGCTGACCTTGAACTCAGAGTTGTATCTGCCTCCTGAGTGCTGGCATTAAAGGTGTGTGGCATGTGTGACCACTTCCCAGTTCAGTTTGATTTTTAAAAAATTTTCATTTTATGTGCTTTGGTATTTACCTGCATATATTGTGTGAGGGTATCAGATCCCCTGGAACTGGAGTTATAGTTATGAGCTGTCATGTAGGTGCTGGGAATTGAACTCGAGTTTACTGGAATAGCACCAATGCTCTTAACCTCTGAGCCATCTCTCCAGCACTGTTTGCTTTTTTTTTTTTTTTTTTTTGAAACAGAGTTTTGCTGTAACTATCAAGCCTATTCTGGACCTAGCTCTTGTAGACCAGGCTGGCCTCAGACTCACAGAGATCCGCCTGCCTCTGCCTCTTGAGTACTGGGATTAAAGCCGTGCGCCACCACCACCCGACAATTTTTTTTTAAACTTTATTATGTGTGTATATGTATGATGTGTGTGTGTGAGTGTTGACACGTGTATGGCGGTCAGAAGACAACTTTGAGGAGTTGGTTCTTCCACTGTGGATTCCAAGGATTGAACTCAGGCTTACATATAGCTTTTGCCCCTTGAGCTGTCTGCTTAACCCAGGTTTGAATATTTTTAAAAAAGATTTATTTATTTTTATTTTGGGTATATAAGTATTTTGCCTGCATGCATGTGGACTGTGTGCATGCTTAATATATACAGAGGCTGTAAAAGGATGTCAGTTCGGGGCTGGAGAGATGGCTCAGTGGTTAAAAGTACTGACTGCTCTTCCAGAGGATCCAGTTCAATTCCCAGCACCCACATGGCAGCTCAAAACTGTCTGAAGATCCAGTTGCAGGGGATCTGACACCTTCACACCAATGCACATAAAATAAAGTTAAATAAACCATCAAAAATATTTTTAAAAAAAAGGTCGTCAGCTCTCTTGGAACTGCAGTCAGATGGTTGTGAGCTGCCAGCGAGAGTAGGTGATGAACCCAGATCCTCTAGAAGAGCAGCCAGTGTTCTTGCCACTGAACTGTCTTTCCAGACCCCAGCTTTGAATTTTTTTTTGTTTGTTTTTGTTTTTTCGAGACAGGGTTTCTCTGTGGTTTTGGAGCCTGTCCTGGCACTAGCTCTTGTAGACCAGGCTGGTCTCGAACTCACAGAGATCCGCCTGCCTCTGCCTCCCGAGTGCTGGGATTAAAGGTGTGCGCCACCACCGCCCGGCCCAGCTTTGAATTTTTTATCTTGATTTAATTTCACTTAAAATTGGATTAATAAAACATTGATAATGGATTGGTTTCTGGGTTGTATGTTTTTTTAAAATAAGGTTTCTTTTCTATTTTATCTTGCACCTATGTTTCTATCTATCATCTACCTATGTATGCACATGCATGCACATATACCAGGGCACGTGTAGAGGACAACTTGGGTCCTGGAAATCAAAATCAGGTTGTCTTGCTTTTAGGCAGGGGCCTTCACTTGCCATCTTGCTGGCTCTCTAAGATTGTTATTATTTTTTAATATCTGGATTCTTAAGTTATGGTACTTAAATGATCTGAAGTCACTTTGTCTTGAAGTCTTTCTGGTAGCATTGATTGTGCTTCTTCCTTTGTTCCTAGACTTTATTGTCGTGGAGTTAAATAGAAGTGTTCCTCAAGTCTGAATGAGGACAGGGCTGGTGGTGTTACAGATACTGTAGTGACTAATTCCACGGCTTCTAGTTGCTCTAATCAATTTTGTCGTGGCCTGTGACTTCTGCCTTCCAGCAATGCTGTTATGGTCAGTTGGTCTTTGTCGCCGTTTTTTCCCCCCACTCTGGGGGCTTTGGGGTCGTGCCCTGTTGGAACTGATGCAGTTTGAGTCTCTGTTCCTTGTGGCACCTAAGAGACTGTTCACTCTGGGAGTTTTGTTTTGTAAGTTTGTTTTTCTTTCTGTTCTTTATATGATTTTTTGGGGTTGGGGGTGTTTTGAGGCAGACTTTCTCTGTGTAACAGTCCTCCCTGTCCTGGAACTCTCTGTAGACCAAGCTGGCCTCGAACTCACTGAGTTCTACCTGCCTCTGCTTGCTGAGTGCTAGGGTCAAAGGCATGTGCTACCACCACCCAACATGTTTTTGTTATTTTAAGAACCATTCCTGCCGGGAAGTGGTGGCGCACGCCTTTAATCCCAGCACTCGGGAGGCAGAGGCAGGCGGATCTCTGTGAGTTCTATGCCAGCCTGGTCTACAAGAGCTAGTGCCAGGACAGGCTCCAAAGCTACAGAGAAACCCTGTCTCGAAAAACTGAAAAAAAAAAAAAAAGAACCATTCCTATACTTTCTGCCATAGCAGTGTGTTCTGTCCTCATCCTGGGCCTTTCTGGGTTCCTCACTATGGAGGTCTGACTGGTCCCAAATTTGCCGTCTTTCTCCTGCAGCCCCTGAATACTGGATTGCAGGGTGTACCGTCATATATATTTTTAAACAATACTAGGTTTTTTGGCATCACATTTTTATGTTATAGAATAAATGTAGGAAAGTATAATATGAATTTTATGTAATAAAAATTTAAAAGACAATACAAATACATTTTACTATTAAATTGAGGGCTCGATTTGCTATTCCTCTGTTTTACTTTTTAAAAAAAAATATTTATTTATTTATTATGTATACAATATTCTGTCTGCATGTATGCCTGCAGGCCAGAAGAGGGTACCAGACCTCATTACAGATGGTTGTGAGCCACCATGTGGTTGCTGGAAATTGAACTCAGGACCTTTGGAAGAGCAGGCAATGCTCTTAACTGCTAAGCCATCTCTCCAGCCCTCTGTTTTACCTTTAAAATTGTTTCATACTTAAAGTGTCTTCAAACATTTTATCAGGGATTGTCCCATTCCTTTTTCCAGAACCACTGGTTCTGTGTTGTCCTTCCTTTCCTGACGCTGCAGTTGAAGGGTGCTGTTCCTTTGTTACCTGTTCAGTTCTGTGACAACTCTTTGTTTTCTTTGCAGCTCTTAGGAGAGTACGAGTCCCTCGGAAAAGAGCACGGGCGTGTAAAGGTAATAGGCAAAAACCTGACCTTCCCCATCTCTCCATCTGGAGCAGTTTGAACCAGTCCATGTGTTTACCCTTCCTGCGTTAATACCTTTATTTTCAGATGTCTGCCCTACTTGGCTGAACCTTTGTGAGATTTGCTAATTTGCCAAATATTATTGAATGGCTGTTATATTTGATGTGAGTTGAGATGAAACTAGGCAGAAGAATTTAAGTAATGCATAGGTTCTAAACCCTGTACATATAAAGTTAACATTTTCAAAGCATTATTCTTTAATGGAGTAGTAAGAATTTACCCTCTGTGTCTGAAATGGTAGCTGACACACTGTTTGCAGTTGTATATCTGAACTTAGTGAAGCACCACAGTGAGTAGGCAGGAAGTGGTTCCAGCCAGTCTGCTGCATGCAGGAGGAGATTGTAGGTTTGTAAGGTTAGTGAAAAGACCTGTAAGGTTAGTGAAAAGCTGCAGCTGAGACTGGGTTCAGAAATAAACCACAGTGTCTGAAACATCACTTCAGGTTTTTGTTGTGCCATTCTGCTAAGCCTTCAGTCACCGTCGTAGCTAAAATAGATCCATCTTAATGTAGGGTTGCTTCTAGTTAAGCAGGCAATGGGTTGTGTCTGTTAGAGTCCTGGGTATAGGCCAGTGTTTATGCTATCGCTTCCCCCTTGAGTTGCCTGGATTGGTTCCACACTGATGCCATCCTTGCTGAGTTTCATGGTAATTGACCGCTGGTTGTTTAGCCTTACATTAGCTCTCTACTACACACTTTGAAGTAAAAGTTTCCATCTGCATGTTTATCTTTAGTTACGGAAATTTTTTTCCCCTTAGGATACATTAAACACAACTGAGAACAAACTGCTTGATGCACACACTCAGATTTCTGATTTGAAAAGGTAAATGTCCTTTTTGTTCTTCTGTGTAAATTCTTACTGCAATAATAAAATATGCTGCTAATCGTCCTTTGTGTTTGTATTGACAATGAGGAAAATAAACTCTCTCCTGAGGGTGTTTAAAATTGACAGCTAGTTTTATCCTAATCCTTGGACATGGAAATACATTACATTTTAGCTCAGGAGATACTTACGTGATTAGAATATATTGGTAGTTTGTAGCACGAATAATAAAAACCCAAGCTGAAGATCAGAAAAGCAAAGCAAAAAACCACTAGAGAGTTCTTACCTCTATGAAATCTTCAGACTGAAAGAGAATGAGTTCCTGTCTCATCTCGCCTTATATTACTCTCTAGTGCTGGGATTAAAGGCATGCACCACCATCACAGCCAGGCCCCTATAGCTAACTAGTATGACTTCTGGGATTAAAGGTGTGGCACCATTGCCTGACCTGTATGACTGAGTATTGTGGCTGTTTTGTGTTCTGGTCTTTAGGCAAACTTTATTTATTAAAATACAAATGAAATATCACTACATTCCCCCCTTTTTGTCTAAAATTAAAAAAGGCTAGAACTAATATAAGAATATGCAGTCAATAAATATATTAACAATGTCTAGTACTTTTTGGTTTTACAAATTCAGAGAAAATACTCCATATCTATCCTATCTTGTGAGTCCAAAGTCTTGTAAACCTAATTTACTTTCTACCATAACTTGCTTTAGTGTCTGGTAAACAAGGAAAACTATAATTCTCTAGTCTTCAACTCCCTCAGAGACCCAAGAAGAAAATAATATTAACTGAGTGTAAGCAGGAAGTGCAAACAAACTACTTCCAAAATATGTGAGAATTGACAGAAACAGCTGGCTGCCTCGACAGTCACCCAAAGTTCTTCTGCAATGTTGGGGCATCCATCTTCTGCCTACAGGCCTAGCATAGCTGATATACTTCTCTGTGAAGCAGGATATTCTTTTTTTTTCTTTTTATAATTAAAAAAAATTTATTTTAATTGATTTTATTGAGCTATATATTTTTCTCTGTTCCCCTTCCTTCCTCCCCTCCTCTTCTACCATCTCCTATGGTCCCTATGCTTCCAATTTACTCAGGAGATCTTTCTTTTTCTACTTCCCATGTAGATTAGATCCCGGTATGTCTTTTTAGGGTCCTCTTTGTTGTCTAGGTTCTCTGTGATTGTGAATTGTAGGCTTGTTTTCCTTGCTTTATGTCTAGAAGCCACTTATCAGTGAGTATATATGATAATTGTCTTTCTGGATCTGTGTTACCTTACTCAATATGATGTTTTCTAGCTCTATCCATTTGCCTGCAAATTTCAATATGTTAATTTTTCTGCTGTGTAGTACTCCATTGTGTAAGTATACCACATTTTCCTTATCCATTCTTCGGTCGAGAGGCATTTAGGTTATTTCTAGGTTCTGGCTGTGACATGCAATGCTATATGAACATAGTTAAGCACTATGTTCTTGTGGTATGATTGAGCATCCTTTGGGCATATACTCAAAAGTGGTCCTGCTGGGTCTTGAGGTAGATTGTTTCCTAATTTTCTGAGAAATTGCCATACTGATTTCCAAAGTGGCTATACGAGTTTGCACTCCCACTAGCAATAGAGAGGGTACCCATAACCTCTCCAGCATAAGTTGTCATCAGTGTTTTTGATCTTCCATTCTTACAGGTGTAAGATGGAATCTCAGAGGGTTTTTTTTGTTTTGTTTTGTTTTTGTTTGTTTGTTTTTCGAGACAGGGTTTCTCTGTAGCTTTGGAACCTGTTCTGGAACTAGCTCTTGTAGACCAGGCAGGCCTCAAACTCACAGAGATCTGCCTGCCTCTGCTTCCACAGTACTGGGATTAATTGTGTGTGCTACTACCACTGCCCAGCTACAAGTTCAATTATAATAGGTGATTTAACTACTAACCTGCAATCCTTATTATCCTAAACAGTTGGTAATAATAATTTTCAGGGATTAGAAATTTGCATTACATTGTTAAATGAGTTATATAAGTACAATACCTTCAATGAGAGAGTAGAAATGTATGTGTAGTATGTTCTAACAAAATCTCAAATTTGTATCAATATACAAAATTGATATACAGTATACAAAACATTTAAAACTAGTAGTTGTTTTTTAAAAGTAGAACCAGTAATCTATCTTACTATGTCCTCCCCTTTCTTTTTTTTTTTTTTTTTTTTTTTTTTGATTTTCGAGACAGGGTTTCTCTGTAGCTTTGGAGCCTGTCCTGGAACTAGCTCTTGTAGACCAGGCTGGCCTCGCACTCACAGAGGTCCGTCTGCCTTTGCCTCCCGAGTGCTGGGATTAAAGGTGTGCGCCACCACCGCCTGGCCTCCCCTTTCTTTCAAACAAAAACCTTGAATCTAATTTCCTTCGTTTAGCTTTTTTCCCCTGCTCCTATTACCAATAGCAACTTGTAACCAATCCTCTTAAACAATGACAAATACCTGTAACCCACTGATGACAAAAATTACCCACCCCACCTCTTGGGAATGTAGACATTGTATTCTTAAATTTACTTCCTGCTGTATGGTGGTGACAGCATCTTTATGGGATCCTGAAAAGAAAAATTTGTGTCCATTGTCAAGTCTGAGAGAGGTGGCTGTATCATTTCTTGTCTAGTCTGTGTGTAATGAGAACATGCAGTGCTCAGAGTAGTCTGTTAGGTTGTATTGTCTCAGCTATCCATCTTGAAATTATTCTGAGAAGTTTGTAGTCCTAAGCTGATCTTTAGGTGGTGTGTTTTAGCTTGGTGGTGTTATCATAGTCCTGGAGGAATTGTCATTGTGGGGCTCCATCCTTGTTTTGGAGATTTCAAAGGTCGCTGTTAGGCATGTTTATGGTTCACTGTCGAAAACTGATAGAGACTCAAACCTGAAATCATGTATAGGAAGGCAGATGAAACATTTTTCTAGAATTAGATAGTACTCTATATGACTGTTATTAATATCATGACAAAAAATTTAGAATATATTTATTAATCTTACAAAATTTATACCTCAAAGAGTCAGTATAAAAACCAAACGATTGGGCTGGAGAGATGGCTCAGAGGTTAAGAGCATTGCCTGCTCTTCCAAAGGTCCTGAGTTCAATTCCCAGCAACCACATGGTGGCTCACAACCATCTGTAATGGGGTCTGGTGCCCTCTTCTGGCCTGCAGGCATACACACAGACAGAATGTTGTATACATAATAAATAAATAAATATTAAAAAAAAAAAAAAAAAAAAACCAAACGATTATGAGATTAGTGGCAATAAAATATTCCTTAAATATTTGTTTTTCTTTTCTCCCATATCAGGTGGTTCTTCGGACATTAGACAGAGATTTTAGATTTCACTTTTAATAAGCCTGCTTGGGTTTAGGGAAGGAGAGAGCCACCCTCCAACTCCAAAGAAGAACATTTGTATTATATATCTGTAGAGAACATCAGAAACAAACAATTGGGAAGATTTATAAAATATTATTTTGTTGAAAATGTGATATATCATTAGGCCAATTTACTCTTTTTCTTCAGACATTTTTTTTTTTGGGATGATTTGTCCTTTTTCTTCAGATGTCTCATTTGTCCAGTGGTCTTTGAACTCCTTAGCTGGTTGTCTTCATTCCCTGAAAAGACAAAAAGAAAATCTTTCCCTAACCCTAATTTTGGGGAGATTCTATTTTGGCAAATTATATCTGATCAAATGAAATGCATTTGTTAGTTTTATATGTTAGATTAGATTAAATGGCCATGTTGTTTGATGGACTATCATCTCTTCTAATTAAGAGGTGTCTCTTGTTCAAATTGAATCTTTATCAATTTTCATGTTATCCATGATTTTTCTCCTGGGGAATCAAAAGCAAAACCTCTTCCCCAACATAACACGTGTCCTGGTTTCCATTCTGAGGTCAGTACATCTTTATATCGGCAGATTTCCTTCCATAGATTTTTTTCTACTATACAATATCTCTCTGTGGCTATTGTTTGTTTCTCATTAGCATTTAGAGAATTCAAAGCATTATGCAATCTATTTCTGGGAGTATTTATCCTCCCTTTCTGTTTATTTAACATATCTTTTAGAGTTTGATTTGATCTTTCTATAACTGCCTGACCTGTAGGATTGTGTGATATACCTTTAATATACTTTATATAAGCAAAAAGGTGTTTCATTTTCTTGGAGATATATGCTGGAGCATTGTTTATAAGTTGTCTGTTGAAAACTTGAATAGTTATCAGTGGTGTGGTGTATGTATTTTAGTTTTCCAAATTCTACAAAATAGAATACATCCATCTTCCAGGTTTCATTCCAGCATCCTTTGGGTTACTTCCTACAGGTATTAGCGTTTGGTTGTATAATGAACAAGTAGGACATTTCCTTATAATTTCCTTGACTTGTTGTCACGTGATAGAACAAATATATTTTTTTTAAATCTTTGCTGTTGACATGATTTTTTAAAAACAAATTATGAGGCCTTCTGCACATTTCCAATCAATAATTGATCAATTTTTGTATTACCTTGTGCTAGAGGACCTGACAGACTTGTATGGCATCAGATGTGTATTATATATATGGGATGATACCAGTTCCTGGTTATATCTTGTAACTGAATAAATAATAAAGTCAATTCTGTATCTCATATAAATTCAGTGGTTTCAATATGCAAAACAGCTCCTGAATATTGCAAATTGGTAACTATGTTGAGAGGTTCTTTAAAATCCCTTAATATCATGAGAATATCATATAATTCTGAATTGTAAAGAATAGTAAGGGCTTAACTTAAATTCTCTGATTCATAACCTTCCTTTCCTGATTTATTTGTATCAGGATAGAGTGTAGGGGCTCCAGTTATTGATGTGTCCCCTAGAATATAAGGAATTGTCCAATTAGTTCTCTTTATGAGTTGAATTTTCTTGCTTTGGGGATAGTTGTTGTTAATCTCTCCCCCAAAATTACTAGAAGCTCTTTACCAGGGGCTCACTTTGTTCCTGTAATTTGTC